AAAAGAAGGCCAGATTAACCATCCAAGGTATTGTCGTTACCATCAGGTAATCAATTACCCGATCAAGAAATGTTTTGTCCTCAAAGACAAGATAATGCAATTGACCGACTTAGGAGTTATCGAACTACATCAGAGTGAGGACAATAACTACCACCAACATGACAACCATTACATTTGGATCCCTTGAACCTAAAGCTCTTTAATGTCCTCACTGTCCTATCATCTACAAACTTGCATAGGGGGCATTGTTAAATCATACACAAATCCCTAATGACACTTTTGTTTGTGGCCATAAACTAAGGATAGTACTAAATCGATTACAAGTAAAAGCCTTAAGTCCCAAGGAAGTCCCTTCACCTTAATCCACTATATCACTCTCAAAACATGACTGAACCATCATTACACAACAGGAGAGTCATGTGACACGCTAGTCACCTATGCCTTATGAACAATTAAAGTAGAATAAAAGGAGGGTTTAGTCACAAATTCCCCCCAAAAACAAGAAAAGACAAGGCAAGAACAATGCTACCCAATCATTGAGTGGTAACTAAAAAAATTTTGAAACAAGTCCCACGACGTCCAATTACTTTACAAGAATATATACAAAAGGAATTCTTTTCTATAAGATGTATAGCCGTGCATACAATCACATGTTATGCAAAAAGAAAATGAGTCAAATTGCTCAAAATTCACTCCTAAATATGAACTTAAACTATTTGTGCTCCCGAATACAAGCATAAATTGTTTACAAGACTCGTAGTATAAGTATAATGTATTCAACTTTCAAAATAACTCAAAATGTGCTCCTGGATACGAGCATAAACTATCTACAAAATTCCAAGAGTATGAATATAAACTACTTGTCATTTTAAAACCACTCAAAATTTACTCTTAGATACGAGCATAAACTGTCTACGAGACTCTTGAGTATGAGTATAAACTATTTAACCTTCAAAATAACTCAAAATATGCTCCTAGATATGATCATAAACTGTCTACAAAACTCTCGAGTATGCGTATAAACTATTCAACTTCCTAAACAACTCAAAGTTTGCTTCCATGTATGAGTATAAACTGTCTACAAGACTTTTGAGTATGAGTATGAACTACTTGACTTCCTAAACAACTCAAAGTTTGCTCCCAGATACAAACATAAACTGTATACAAAACCCCCAAGTATGAGTATAAACTACTCGACTTCCTAAACAACTAAAAATTTGTTCCTAAATACGAGCATAAATAATCTATAAGACTCCTGAGTATGAGTATGAACTACTCGAATTCCAAAATAACTCAAAATATGCTCTCGGATACATGCATAAATTGTCTACAAAACTCTCGAGTATGAGTATAAACTATTCAGCTTCCAAAATAACTCAAAGACTACCGAGTATGAGTATAAACTATTTAACTTCCAAAATAAGTCAAAATATGCTCCCGAATATAAATATAAACTGTCTACAAAACTCTAAGAGTATGAGTATAAACTATTCGTCATTTTAAAACCACTCAAAATTTGCTCCCAAATATGAACACAAACTGTTTGCAAGACTCCCGAGTATGAGTATAAATGGTTCAACCTAATAAATAACAAAAAATGCACTCTCAGATATGATTTTAAACTATCTACTAAGTGCTCTTAGATAAGATCCTAAACTATCTACAAAGCCCCAAAGCACAAGTACAAACTACTCTGTGAATTATGTCATTACTTGATCCCTTCAATGGTGCATAGGCAACTTGAAAAGATGCAATCACAAAATAAACAAATTATTATTTGTTCTACTCTTGGCCCGCATGAGTATAAACTGTGAATGGCCAAATAAAAGAAAAAAGAAATCTTCTAGTCCACATAAGTTTAGACCGTAAACAATTCAAGAAATTCCAGATCTTACTTATAAGAGTATAAACTTTACAAGTCGGTGGTTGCATTGCCAATTACAATAACAATTACCAACTTAGAGGGCATTTGTTGGTATCTAATTTTTTCGGCCCAAGAGGTAAAGTAAATAGGACCCACTATAAAATTATAAGAAGCTATTGGGCCCACTAAGAGGAGATACTTTTTTAGGTGGGACCTAATGTATTGGCCCATTAGACACTAGTAGGGTCCAGTGAAAATGCAAGGGAAATGATAGGCTTAAGCCTTTAATCACTTGATTTCCAAATACACCGACCCTATACAAGAGATCAAATTGTAAAAGAAATCACAAATTGAACTCTATCATGACTAATATATTGGCAAAATTTTAAATTGGATTTATTGGATCCCATTTAAAAGCCAACTGAGAGGCTTAATTGGTCTAACAAAGAAAGAAATCGTGGCTAGTTAATGGATTGAATGCTACGTGGGCCCAATCCCTTTGACAAATGGCACTTGATCCCAAGTGTTGGGATTTTAGTCAAACCCACTTACCTTGACAAGGCATGTTGAGGATTAGTAAATTGATCACCCAATCATCAAAATTGGTGGGTCCATATCAATTACAATTTATAATAGAAGAAAACAATAGCTGGCCGAAGATGGTTTTTCTCATTTGAATTCAAATTTTTGGGTTGACTCACCAACAAAGAGTTATAAATAGATGAAGGAAGAAGGGCGTGCCCTCTTCGGGTTTTCCTCTTTGGCTCCCTCCAGCAGCTCCCATGTTATGTTTCAACTTTTCTTGTTGTAAGAAGGAAGAACTAGAACTTTGACTCCTCAACTACTGAATCTTCAAAATTGCTATAGTCCCATGTCACGTGAGTCGAAGAATTTAGTCATTTGAATTGCTATAAATCAAAGAAAGCACCCATCAAATTACTACAAACAAAAAATCTTCAATCAAATTGTTGCAACCTAAAAGAACTTCATCGAATCATTATAACCAAGGGACCTCCTACAATTAAAGTCGTCAAGTTTTACGGGTCTTGTCCATGACAAGCTACAAATATAAGCTCAGTTGTTTCTGTGGCAAGAGAATTATAGGATGTTCTTAAAAAAAAAAGAAGAAAAAAAAATTTGTATCTCACTTACATTTCTGCAAAAAAAAAGTAATTAAGTTTCTTTAAATTTGTCCGTATTATTTTTTGTGCTCCAAAATTAGCATGAAATTTGTATCAACATTGGATTCCATCTAACCAATTTATAACCTTTAGAACTTTGTTGCCCTTTTGGGATTAGATAAGCTTTCTTGAAATTCCTTCTTTTCCAAAGTTGTCATAATAGGAAAACATATTTTTCTCTTAACTTTTCTTCTTCACTTGATTGATTGTTGAAATTTCCAACCACCAGTCCCTAAACGACTTTTCTTGGTCATCCAAACCTTGAATAGATGGATTAACCATCAACCAAACTTGTTTAGCACAATTACAGCGTCTAAAAATATGATTTACATCTTCTTCACCACAAAAGTTACAATCGCCATCAATATTTGCACCTTTACTCCTAAGAAGGGAAGCCTGTAATTTAATAAAAGGTAGAAAAAAACACCTATAATTTTAATTTTGGTGTGCATTTAAGATTCTAAACATTCTTATTCCAATTGAACCCACTCACATGATTCACCAATTGCTTACACTTTAGGTGGTAAGCGGATTTGGAAGAGAACTTCTCATTAGTATTACACCACCAAATCATTCGATCTTCCTTTTGGCTAGAGGGGATGAAAATTGCCTTAATCTTTAACCAAATGTCATGCATTTGGAATATGGTTACAAATTTGCTCCCTACTCCAAACATTCCTTTCTTGGTTACTAACCAATAGAGTTTCATTTTCAATTGTTCCCTAAGGGATCATTTCTGATATTGTTCTTTCCCCCATCCATCTATCATTCCAAAAGTTCACTAATCTACCATTGCCAATCTCCCATCCAATACCCTTGTTTAAGAGATCTCTAGACTTTAATATTCCTCTCCAAGCCCATGAATCACCTTTTCTAATTTTCATATCCCATAAATCCTTCTGTTTGATGTAGTTATTTTTAACAACTTTAACCCATAAATTATCTTTTTTAGTGAGGATTTTCCGTCCCAACTTATAAAAAGTTTTTGAGACCCATGCCCCTTGACTCTTAGGCGTACAAACCCTTTCCCAACTCAAGAGGTGAATCGGTTTTCTACCCTCTGAATTGGTCCACAAGATATTAAATACTCATGCAACATTTTAATGTAACTAGGCTTACCAGCGTGAACCCAGTCTAGGCTCAATTGAAAAGATTGGTCTTGACTTCAGGCCCAATCTGGGCTTGGACATTAGACCCAATAGGTTAACCTTAGCCCACCCGACCATTTGTAAAGTGCAGGAGATATAAATGTTTATAGTCTTGATTTTCATGCCAAACATCGCCTCAATTGTGCAGAACTCTCAATCTAGTTTCTAGCTACCAATGGAGGGCTGGCTCGGTGGTGTATTAGTTTGTTCCAGTATAGATGTTGAATCAAATCCTCTAACCAGCACTTTGGGGAAAAAGAGGTTAGGAGAAGTTATTAATGGTGCATAACACCAAATATAAAAAAAAAAAATAAAAATCTAGTTTCTACTTTCTACCTTCTTGGGGGACCTATTGAATGAAGGAATTATGAATGATCGTGCTTATTGTACTCGACGTAATTTGTCCACCTGTTTTATTATTCGATGCCCCATTTGTACACATGGCAAATTCGGCTGGATGCTCGGAGTTTTTGCTGAATTCGCATGGGTTCTCTCTCCACTAGGCGGAGTTGAGATCTTCTGCCAATAAAACATCTTCCAACCTTCAATCAACTTGATCTAACACCGCACATCTCTATATAGACTGGACCCGCCATGTCTGAGATGTGCGGTGTGAGGTTATGTTAATAGAGGGAAGGTATATTGTTGGTAGGTGATCCGGATTCTATTAGGCGCGCCCCACAAGCACATCTAACCGCGCACAATGACAAGTACGAGAGATATTCTCAATGCACGGTTGGATGTGCGTGTGAGGCGCGCTATGTGCGAAGTCCATTCGAACTCGTTTTTACTTTGCAGAAGATCCCGTCGCGTTTCCGTTGGGGGTCTGCCTGTTACAGGGAAACAAGCAACCCATCAGCTCTTTTCTCCGTCTCTCATCAGCTCCCTCGCTCCGCAGAACAGAAATGGCAGCACTGCAGGCTTCGCACACCTTACTGCACTTCAGACTTCCCAAAACTCTCCGCTTCTACTCTCATCGATCTCCAAACCCTTCTCTCTTATTCTCCCTAGTCCATACAAGCGGTCGATTTCCCTCCCTTCGTGTCCGTTCTACCTTATCCGGCGAATTGCCATATCAATCTATCGGTCGATTTTCGGTATATAAGCCTCCGAAAGGCCGAAGTTCCGACGGGAAATATGCTGCCAAATCTTCTGGAAAGTTCTCCGGTGGGGAGAAAGTCGATGGGCTTTCTGCCGGCATTACCGACGAATGGGGAGACAAAGTCGAACCTGAAACAGAGACTTCGGAGGCGAAGCTCTCGGATGCTGATCCTCCCAGAGATGAAGATGAATGGGGAGGTGGTGAAGCGAGTACGGACTGTAATGTGAATGATGGAAATTCGACTGACAAAGCTTCCGGCAAGGTACCCGGTGAGGAGAAAGTCGACGGGGCTTCTGCTGGCATTACTGACGAATGGGGGTATAAAGTCGAACCCAAAGAAGAGACTTCGTACACGAAACTCTCGGATGCTGATCCTCCCAAGGATGAAGACGAATGGGGAGGAGGTGAGGCGAGTACTAAATATACTTCAGGGCGTAGCAACCCGGCCGTGTACGATAAGCTTGAAGACTTGAAGCGGTGCTTGGTTGAGACTGTTTATGGTACTGATTTTGGGTTCCAAGCATCTGGAGAAGTTAGAGAAGAGGTTTTGGAGTTGGTTAATCAGCTTGAAGCGTCAAATCCGACTCCAGCGCCCGTGGAGGCGACGTCCCTTCTTGATGGAAATTGGGTGTTACTGTAAGTGGGTTTTCTTTTTTATCTTGGTTTTAATTCTAAAAGGTTTCTATGTGATCGAAGATGTTTGAATAAATCTTATCTGCTTGTCAGTAACATGGGAAACTGTAATATCAATCTGCTATTAAAATCAAACACAAATGAGATCACCAAAGAGAAACTGAACCATAGGATTCACTTAAATGTAAAGAAGGCTCCAATTGTAATAAGATGGGTTTTTAATAGTGGGGAATGTAGTGGTATGCGGTGGGAGGCCGGAAGCAAAGTAATTGCTTGGCTGGAGCAGAAGAGGTTATTTTGTACTGGATCAAGCAAAGTAATTGCTTGGTTGTGAAAAGGTTTCATCTTTTCAACTCGATTATAAATTAGTTGATTCTCCTTTAATTTTTACCAGCAACTAGAATTCATTAGGAAAGAAGGGATTACATGCAAATCTACTTTTTTGTTTTGTTTTGTTTTGGTTTTGGTAAAGGGAGATGGAAGCAAGTACTAAATGAAGTAGAACATTTCGTGGAGCCAACTAATGGTGAAATTATATAATTAGTTTCTAAACATGCAAAACTGGGGAAGGAAATGAAGGTGGGAAAACATAGAGAATTTTCTCATGCAAGAAGTATAGAATCTTTTATATACTGGGAGACATAAAATCGTATTGATGCAGCTCAGTTGATGTTTATTTTACATTTAAAGAATGGTTAGGGAGATTGAGGACCAGACATTCATACTCTCTTCTCATTTTTTTTTTGTTCTTTTTAAGAAGTATTATATTGCCTTTCTGAGTCAAAATGCATCAGCTCATGTGCATCAAGAAGCTGTACAATGGGAATATACAGTATAAGAAGGACTTGCATTGCTGTTTACAAAGAAGGTTTCTTATAAAAAAAGAATTGTATGGTATTCTCATCTTTTATTCTCTCTTTTTTTTTTTCACTTGTTCTGATTAAATATTCTGAGGTTTCTTTTATCCTGTTTAACTGTTTAATAAAGTATTAATTTTCTCAGATCAGGGATTAAAGCAAAATGCAAATAAGCAACATATATAAGGTGGCATTTGGTTCATTAGTAGGTTTATGGTAAGTTACCTGTTGAAAAGTAACTTATTACATAAGTTTTTTATTTGTTTTTGGAGGAAAGCAAGGTAAAATTTGTTTATAATACAACCATCTGAAAATTGCAAAGATGAAGAGAGGACCCAAAAGATAAGTGAGGGACTGTAGTCAATCAAAAATGGATGCAAACCAACAAGAACAAAACTACAAAGAACACCCATCAACCCTCAAACATATTTTCCCACCCAAGTATGCCCAATCATATGAAGTCTGGAAATACTTGTTAACTGAAACCTAGGAACCTAATCTGCTCATAACCTTGTTCACTAAATCCTTCTCCTGAAGGGCCTTGTTTGCAAAAGCTCTATTATCACATAAACTACTCATCATCAGTTATAAATAAGTTTCTTTTACTTTGCCTAATTTACTTATCAAAGCTATTTTACAGATGGGAAACCAAATGTGCTTTTTTACTTTTATACTGATGATCAATTGATATCAGTAGAAATGTTAATACTTATCTGTGGTGAACCAAACTTCCTCTAAGAGGGGAGGGGGCAGAGAAAAGGAACTACCAACGAAAACCAGAAGCATAAACATTAGAAACAATATCTACACCCCCTGCAACCTCCACAAGAAAGCATCCCAACGCTTGCACCTGACTCTAAACTACCATGGTGTTGTCAAAATCTTATGCTTTGCGATACGGTTCAGGATTTGAATCATGAATCCCAAGAGTTTTGATTCGAATCTTATGTTTGACTCCTTTTTTCCAAAAATCTTACAAATTTTTTTCTTTTTGAATCTTATGATTTGATTCATAAAGCTTACAATTTATACAGTTTCTACAGTTCACTATGATTCAAATAAATTCAATTAAGAAGTAGTTCTCTACTTTCTTATGTTTTTATTTATATTTAGTTTTGCCAAGGGAGACTTTTTTTTAAAGCACTTAATAAAAAATGATTTATTTACGTTATTTAAGACTAGAAATTGAGTTTATTTTCCATCATATGTAGGTTAAAGAGTCATTGTATGCGGATTTGTTTGACTTTCAAGTCAAACTTGGTTATATCATCTTAGGCTTCTATTGTATAAGTGGTAAATCCTATTGTTTTAGGTACATATATGGTAGATATAGATTAAAATTAGGGTAAAGTCACTTTCCTATATATATTTAACCTTTTAATATATCTATATTTATTTTTTTGACAAGTTTGTAAAAACTAGAAATAATCTTACGATTTATGACACGGTTTACGATTCAATTCAATTCAGCTTTCTCTATGATTATGATTTTTAAAACACTTCTAATCAGTTTTTAAAAGCTCCACCTGATCCTTCTCCCCCTACTACATCTACCACCCTTGTTACTTACTTCCCCATCCCCTCTCCCACCCCACTCCACACACACATGTGCACGTGCACACACCCTTTGGAATAGTGTTTTAAAAGATATGTGATGTACCTTAAGGCTTGGAAAATTCCCTTAGGTTCAACTTTGAGGCTTATCCTCACACTTTTGTTTGATGGATAACAAAAATTTCATTACTAAATAAAATAAAAAGTTGATACCAGTGTTTTAAGACTCGAACAGGACACAAAACCAGAATGCTCGCCAGGTAATGGGTCAAGTGATTTGACTATGAGCTACCCTTGTCTCTTCCCCATCCACTCNCACCCACACCCACACACACACACATTGCATGTGCACGTACAAACACCCTTTGGAATAGTGTTTTAAAAGATATGTGATGTGCCTTAAGGCTTGGAAAATTCCCTCATGTTCAACTTTGAGGCTTATCCTCACACTTTTGTTTAATGGATAACTAAATAAAATAAAAAGTTTGTACCAGTATTTTAAGACTCAGATTGGACACAAAACCGGAATGCTTTCCACGTAATGGATCAAGTGGTTTGACTATTAGTCGCAAAAAAAATATAGATAATAGATTTTGCAATTCATAACTCAAATGTAAGTGACAGGTAGATGTTTAAGGTGCTACTTTCAACACAAATGATCAGGGTTCAAATCTCATTTCTTGCATTCTGTTGAAAATATGTACTATTCTCTCTCTCTCTCTCTCGGTATATATATCTCAATATATATATATACACACACACACACACACACACATAAAACTAAGCATAAAATGTGTAATGGCTTAATAGATTGACACTATTGCATGTTATATTGAGATCTAAAGTTCGAGTCTTGCCATTTGCATTTTAAAGTTTGTGGATTTAGTGATCTGGTTGGTTGGACTATTGGATTGTTGAAACCCAGCCAATTTTCAATAGTCCACTGGGTTTTGACCAGTTCTTCTGGTTTTCCAGAAAAATGAAAATAGGGGTTAAAAAAACCAGAATGTCTTCAAGCTCTCAGTTTGAATGGTCCAACTGTTTGGTCATGTCCAAGTCTTAAAACATTGGTTGATACATAGAGATGCAGGATGTGGTTAGCCTTAGCTAACCACCTACATTGAGATTACAATTATAGATTCCTTTGATAAACCAAACCACAATACAATTGCTCTTTGCCAACCCCTTGCTTTGCCAGGTTTTCCAGCCGATTTGCTAGTCCATTTGCATATCCAGGTACCCAATTTATAGTTGCTCCCAACCCTTGAATTAGTTGCTACAATTCTCTTATGATATGTCTAGATTTCCATGGTCTATTCTTATTACCCCTAAGTAGGGGTGCAAGTTGGGCCAAGTTAGATTGGGTTGTTGTCAACCCTAGCCCAGCCCAAGGTTCTGAACCCCCAACCTGACCTTCAACCCGTTCTAGTCAACTCTAACCCTAACCCAACCTAAAATCTTTCAACCCTAACTCAACCCAACCCAACCCGATCTTCTCCCATCCTCTTAAAATCTCATAACATCTCTCAAATTCTCTTAATATTTGATTAAGAGACCTAAGTTTAACTTTTATAATCATATATTAACCATAGTTTTATTGGTATTTTCTTGTTTCATGTTTTATTATAAAACCTAAATTATGGAATGAAAATCACTAATGATAGTTTGTCATTTGGATCGGGGCTTAAGAATTAAGACTAAATAGATTGATCGTATGTGGTGGGACTATAATACACATGTACAAAGCATTAGTAAAGTTGGGTTCATATTGGGTTGAGTTGCCCAAGTGGTCAACCCTAATCCAACCCAATGTAAAGTTGGATAGGAAAAACTCAGCCTTAACCCTAACCTGAGCATCAACCCGACCTGCCCCAACCTGACTTTTTTGGGTTGGGTTTGGGTTAACCATTAACCCAGCCCAAGTTGCAGCCTTACCCCTAAGCCACCTGGTTACCACATGTGAGTCACCTTTAACAAAATTTTGGCTAAAGTGCTTGTTGAGAGAATGAAAGGAGTCCTTGGTAGTGTTGTCTCAAATAACCAAAGTGCTTTTGTTCCGGGTAGGCAGATGCTGGACTCTGTTCTCATTGCCAATGAGCTCATTCATTCCAGGAAAAAAGAAGGTTTCCCGGGGTTGATTTGTAAACTTGATATTGAAAAGGCCTATGATCATGTCAACTGGAGATGTGTTGATCTTGTGTTACATCAGATGAATTTTGGGCAGAAATTGAGGAATTGGGTTAAAGTCTGTATCACTTCTCCAAAGTTCTCAATCTTGGTTAATGGATAGTCCGCAAGTTTCTTTGATAGCTCTAGGGGTCTTAGACAAGACGACCCCTTGTCTCCCCTTCTATTTATATGTGTAATGGAAATCCTCACTCTATTCTATAAGAAGGCTGCAGATTTAGGTGAGTGGGAAGGTTTTGCAATTGTGTCAGGGGGAGAGAAGGTGAATATTCTTCAATTTGCAGATGATACGTTGTGTTTTGTGGATGCCTCTCCCTCTCAGGTGGAGTTAATCCTTGGGATGTTGTCTTGGTTTGAAGTGACAACAGGTCTAAAAGTTAATTGGAACAAGAGCCAAATTATCCCAGTGGGCCAGGTTTCCAACTTAGCAGATTGTGCTGGTATCTTGGCTTGTCAGATTGAGTCCCTTCCAGTCAAATATTTGGGACTCCCTCTGGGGGTGAGTGGTGGTTCTCCTGCAATTTGGGACCTGGTTATTGAGAGAATGGAAAGAAAGCTGGCCTCTTGGAAGGCAAAATGCCTCTCCTTTGGGGGTAGGGTGACTCTGATTAAGAGTACTCTCTCCAATTTATCCACCCGCTTCCTGTCTCTATTCTCTATTCCTAACAAGGTTGCAAATCATCTTGAAAAGCTTCAAAGGAGTCTTCTTTGGAGAGGATGGGAGGAGGAGAAAAAAGTGCACTTGGTGAGTTGGGAGAAAGTTTGCCTCCCCAAATGAACCCCTTGCTGATTCCTTCCCCCTCCTCTTCCAGTGTGCTTCGGATCAAGAGGTTTCAGTTGCAGAGTGCTATAGTGTATCTGGTGATTCAGTTCTTTGGTCTCCTTCATTTTGAAGGAACCTTTATGATTGGGAGGTGGAAGAGACTTTGAATCTGTTGACCTGTCTTCAGAACCAAGAGTTGGATTACAGTTCGGAGGATAAGTGGCATTGGAAGTGGAACTCTGATGGGGTGTTCTCTGTCAAATCTCTTTCTGCTAACCTCGGTAGGAGGGGTCTTCTTGATTTTCCTGATCGACAAGTGTGGAATCCCAACAGTCCAACTAAAGCCAACTTCCTAGTTTGGACTATGGCTCTTAATAAATGTCTTACTAGAGATAACCTAGTGAGAAGGGGCATTCAGGTGTTGGACTTGTCTTGCAGTCTGTGTGGGAGGAGTGCTGAATCTACTGACCATTTGTGTATCCATTGCCATATTCTGCTCAGTTGTGGAACCATTTCCTCAGCTCCATGAAGGTAAGTTGGGTGATGCCGAGGTCGGTTAAAGAGCTGTTGTGTTGCTGGCAGCTTATGGGTTTGAGCACGAAAAAGAATACTGTCTGGAAGATGATTCCAATTGCTGTAATTTGGTCCATCTGGCTGGGAGGAATAGAAGGATTTTCAGTAACAAGACAAGTCCGGAAGAGCTAATTCAGAAATCAGTAACAAGACCCTAAGTCTTGGGTGTTTGTGGCTGCGGATTTTAGAAATTGTAATGTGTCAGATGTTTTTCTTTCTAGCTCTTGATGGAATGTGTATTTGCTGTTTTGATCAGTCAGCCTTTTCTGGGACTGGGACTGATCTCAGCCTCCTGTGTGTAATTTCTTATCAATAAATATTGCTCTACCTTTTCCAAAAAAAAAAAAATTTAGCCTATCCACTAGTACCTTCCTATAAATGCTTGCTTATATTTGGTATCCCTTGCCATAGCCTATCCATTTCATCTCTTAGTTCTTTTTTTTTTTCTTATCTGTAATCGTGTAAATATATTATCTTTCTTATCAATACTTGAGATAAAATAGATGAGAATCATTTGTTGTTTTTCTTTTTTTCTTGGTGGGTGATTCCTTATCAATCACTTTGAATGATTTTTCTCTTTACTATTAAAAGGGACAAATGATAGTCTATATTTGAGTATTTTTTAATAACCTATCAGGACATCCTCTTAAGAGGGCACAACATTTTTCTTTCCTTTTTATGCCTATTTTTACTTGAAGCATACTCGTTATTTCTTACTCCTTCAGGGAGTTTTTTTTTTTCTTTTGCTTTTGTTTTGCATGTTGATATTCTGTTAGATTACCACTTTAATTCAGTTTTTGATTTGGAAATCCTGTTATTTTATCCTTCTAAGTGCAAAACATGGTAACTCCTGTAAAATCTGAACCTTGGTGCATGTTGTTTCACTCTCCTGTCAAAAACTCTGTAGTATTCTCTTGTAAGTCATGTATCTTTCTAGGGATCAGGTGTCACATCCCCACCTGCAACTGTAACCCTTATTCATTGTTAATATAACTTTTGAATTCTGATAAGGAGGTCGGTAGGGTTGTTCTTTGATCTGACAAAATGCAGGGAAAGCCTCCTCACGGAGGGTTTACTGAGATTCCTGCATATTGTAATTATCTTTTTGCTTTCAAAAAATATAGGAGATGGTCCTTGGTAGACTGGACGGGAGCATGATTTCATGTGAGGACCCCAATTGGTTGAGACTTGGGATAAACCTTAGTAGGTAATGCTGATCAGCTGATGATGACACTGAGTTGGTTTCTGGTTCATTAGGTACACAGCGTTTTCTGAGCTCTTGCCTCTTCTAGCAGTTGGGAGAATACCATTGTTGGAGATTAAAAGGATATGCCAGAAGATTGACACCAAAAGCCTGACCATAGAGAACTCAACCTCACTCTCTAGTCCTTTTGCCACTTTCTCTTTCAGTGCATCTGCTACTTTTGAAGTCCGAAGCCCTTCAAGAATACAGGTACCATCACATACATCTTAGTTTAGCTGAATCAATTGCATAAAAGCGATCTGATTAGATAATTGTACCCAGTTGATCAATTGTTCATTTTGAGTACTGGAAATAGAATTTTCAAATATTCAGATTTGTTACAATCAGCAGGGGGGGAGTGTTTTGACTGGGGGTATCATCTAGTGGCGTTAATTATCTGTGTTCTGATAGAGAGGACAGCTTGCGTCCTCAAGGGATACACAGCGTCCTCTGTGAGATATCCCCAATTTTTCACTATGGGATAAGTGCATATAGAACTGTCTGTTCTTAACTATCCATTTGTGACTTTAATTTAATATATGCAGGTCCAATTCAAGGAAGGGGCCTTCCAACCACCGGAGATAAAGTCTACTTTTCATCTCCCTGAAAATATAGATGTTTTTGGCCAGAAAATTGATTTGTCACCTGTGCAGCGATCCCTCAACCCTCTGCAAGATGCTGTGGCAAGTGTTTCTCGTGCAATCTCTGGCCAGCCACCTCTAAAGCTTCCAATTCCAGGGGAAAGGTCCCAATCCTGGCTGATAACAACTTACCTTGACGAGGATCTTCGGATATCAAGAGGTGATGGTGGCTTGTTTATTCTTGCAAAAGAAGGTAGCCCTCTGCTAGATCAGTAGCCACAAAGCAACTGGTGAGGGCTAATAGATTTTGCGTATTGCGTTTATTTCTTTCTTTTGTACATTTCTAGTTTCTCAGTGGAGAATAAATTCCTAAGTTAAGGGACCTACTCCTACCCCTAGGCTGCCCTATGACTACAAAGTATGCTTCGTTAGGCTCGGTTTGTTTACACTGTGAATTTCATTTTCCACTGGTTTTAAATAATGGTAGTGCAAATAGGTTGCGTAAATTCTGGTTTATTACTTTCACTTCAGATTTGGTTTGCTCTTATTTGTTTCTGAAGTACCTTTCAAGTTCCAAGTTATTCCCCGATCAATTTGTCACGTGTTGTATCTTATTGGCCTACACAGAATTGTAGAGGATTCGAATTGATCTAATAATACAAGCAGAGTAAATTTTCTGCAACCACGGAACTATTACCTTGCGAGGTTGAGTTTGGAAACGATGCAAATAAGTGTGAATGTAAATATGTAGAGTGTAAAACAGTCCATATCAATTGCAAAATTGGGTTAGTTTTGCACTGCCAAATTTATCTTCTTACTAAACAGACTTTTAGCTGTAATGGATGCAAACATGAATTCTAATAAAGCATATGCATTTTTTTATCAAAAGCGCACTTGAATGCAAATTTACTTCTTTTTTATTGATGTACTTTTACATCTTATTATCAATGTAAATATGCATTGGTCTTCATTTGTCAATGTATAAATGTAATGTTGTCAAAACAGGCAAAAGTGAACCAGAGTGAACCAGGATTTACACTCTATTTGCATCGTTTCCAAACACAGCCTAAAGGATCAAATTTTTTCCACCTTGCATTTATGTTTTTTTAGATGTCAGGAATTGCAAAGAGGGAGGGGGAGTGCAGCTTGGTTTTGCAGAATTTGGATTAGCTGAATGTAAATACATGAGATTCACAGTGAAAGCCAGTCGGACCTCAACCGTGTTAAGCAAAAGCCAGTCGGACCTCAACCAAAAAAGAGATAGACCACTTTCAAGAATCCGCCATTAAATCTCTCACAGACCTCTTTCAAGAATCCTCCACTAACAGAGATTTTGCTAACTTTGTAGAAGCCAAACTCATTAGCTTGAATTTGACTCTTCGACAAACTGATGATTGTTGGAACAGAGTACGAGCTGGAGCTACACACCTAGAAGCTTCCCATTGGCCCCCTAACTCTAAGCAATGAAGCCGCCTCATGAGCTGTCGACCGGATATCATCAACAATGAAGCTTCCCCATGAGCTGGACGATCGCCTTCTAAGTTGTAACACCGCAACGTCATAGGTAGTGGCTACTATCTCCGGCGTTTCGAGGTTGTCCAACCAAATATTCGTTTTCTTCCCTGGCTTACGTATCTCCGACACCCATTTCCCCATTTCCGCCTCCAAACGGCGAGGGTTGTAGCAGCAGTTCCGATAGCGTTGTTGTTTGGGCGGTGGAGATTCAGGTACTCGTTGGGGCGGTTCGGTACTGTGTAGAGACGGTGGGGAGGGAAGAGCAGAGAACACCGGCGACTGTTACCCCAAAAAAATCACTTTACATAAATCCATTTATTTCCCCTCTTCTCATTCTGCCCCAGATTTACTTTATTTCATCCACCAGTTTTCTCCGGTCACCGGTGATAGCTGTTGGTCGCTACTGATCAGAGAGGGAGAGAGTGAGATTAAAAATGGTGGATTCGATTCGGTATGGGCGAGAAGACGGTGAGAGAAGTGCTTTTAGTTCACCTCGCACATTTTCGTCACACACGTTTCAAGGACGCGTAGCGCGTATTCATGGTGCGCGAACGATGCACGCATCAACTCTGCCCTGATAGAAGCCGGACTCTAACACATTGACCTGTTACATCATAATATAAATATAAGATTTTGTAAATATGATAAGATATGTGCAATTGTGGTTAAATGGATTTTTTTTGCTTGGCTTTTTTTATACAAGCGATTATGTTCAAAAATATATACACAAGTTTCATCAATATAGATATTAAAAATATAAATGCAAATATAGATTCAAATCTTACTGTTATCAATTTATGATTTGTGATAAATCAGTAACGCAGCGTGCAGGTGACAGATCCAGACTCCATCCATTTAATATTTCCTTGATATAAAATTATATCGATTACTTTGTTTGTACTGCAATCAAACAAAATAAGTTAAAATTTGAAACCAAAGATAAGTCAGAATTTACACTCAAATCATTTGCACTGTTATAATTTTGCATCAGTACAAATTTATTTATATTGCAACCAAATACAGCCATAGCAAGATAGCCCTTGCCACCGTGTATATCACCGGCACAACTGATTAAATGTTAAAATATTGATACGCCCGTTACCTTCAAATTGGTATTGGTGCATACTGATATGACTAATACCATTTGTTTTTTTTTGTACTTTTTTACTTTTTTTAATATTGTTAGGTCTTACAATTTTTTAAAATTTTAATGCTTTAAAAAAAAAAACTTTTGTATTATATATTCAAGTGTATTTAAATACACTGGTATGAATAAAGGCATATCATATTGATATTTTAATACACAACACAGCAGTTCATATAAGTCCATGATTAAGGATTTTAGCCTCATCGTATCAAAAGTGAATTCAACATTATTACGCACACACAGATCAAGCCCACCAACCAGTCCAAAAAACCCAGCTTTCAGCTTTCAGATGAGCCTAGAGGAGAGATTACACACAGTAGACTATATTCAAAAAGTAGTTGACAGAGTCCCGAGCAAGGAAAGAAAGATTTGTCGTGGTTCTCCCGCTAATTTCGAAGTATGTCAAGAGACCAATTGAGGGTTATTGGGGATTTTATTTGGATTGTGAAACCAAGCAGAAGGAATTGTGGTTGACGTCTGACCTAAGCGCCAACTATCTCCATTAATGGTGGGATGGATAATACAATTTTTGCTTAAATTCTACGTGTTTTTTGTTCTTACAAAGACATCAATACATGATACAAAACCTCTTCTTCTTCTTTGCCTTCAATCGAAATATTCAATTATTCATCAACAGATGACGCGAAGGGATTAATTAGTTCCAATGTGAAGGAAGAAATCCAAGGCAAATAGGTTTTCATCTCTGAAACGAAGCCAAACAAAATCAAGAGAACAATTGTAGATGCGACGACCAATCTGAAGAGTTATGTAAGCTGCAAAGTGATTTCAAGAAAGTAGCTTTATGGTCGATCCAAGGCAGGTAATGAAGACTGATTTGTATATGGAACCAAAAGAGCGAAGCTTTGGTAGATATGTAGAATAGAGGTTTGAATGTCTGGATCGAGAATTGGAGGTGCATTGGAGATTGAACGATTGTAGATGATTGAAGAGAATTTGTAGCTGTTTCTTTTTTTGAGGTTCGGAGTTAGATTGAGACCCTGAGATAGAATAAAAGATTGATCGAACTGGTAAGAAACATAGGGAGGGAATGGGTATCAAAAGAATTGGTGGTCTTCTATTCACATAACCAAACCATCTTAACCTATTTTCTCATTTTATTTATCACTTATTGGAGCTATTCCTAGGTTTCTACAAATGACTTCATCGTAATCCTATCCTTTCTAGTTTTTTCACTCATCCATCTTAGCATTCACATTAACGTATTGTTTCTTGACTGTCCAACACTCAATTCCATACAATATACCTGGCCTTACAACTGTTTTATAGAATGTTGGTTACAATGGTCTTGGGAAGGGTAGGCTCAATATAGACCTACGTCCAACATTTTTTTTTTTTTTTTGGCACAAGGTGACTCGCTCAAATTCATGTTTTCATGTTCCTCAACCCAGGAATTTACCATTATACCAATTAATGGTCCCTATGCTATAACATAAAATGCAAAACACATACAACATAAGAAGGTAGTGGAGTTGCCAGAAAAGGCTGTGATACTAATTTTTCAGTCTCATTCTTTTTGCATAAATTATAATCTATATTGACTTTATTTATAAAATTAGTAAGTGTGCACATGCTTTGCACATGACAATTCTAGATGATGATAATTATAGCAATAATATATCCAAAAATTTTTATAAACTTTATGTATTTTTTATTTTTCATTATTAATCAAATATAGATTGCAGAATTCAAATCTGATTACATAAATACATCATCCAAATATGTGATAGTCAGATCGAACTGTGAATTTTCAAGTATCATTGACATGCCTACTTGTTTAGCTAGACTCTTCTTTTTGTAGTGTTTTATCTTTTTGGTGTATCTTTTTTTTTTTGTTCATTTATCAAAAAAATGTAAAATTTATATGGAGGGAATGAAGATAAAAGTAGTAGTTCAATTTACAATTTAAACCTTGCAATTAAATATGGACTAAATTCAAAAATTAGTATTTTAGTCATTGCTTTAGAAACCGGACTAGACCGAACAACCAAACCATTTTGGCTTGGGAATTAGTCAAGTAACTAGTTCTATTTTGGCCTTGAACCACTATTTTACAAAAAAAAAAAAGAAAAATGTTGAAATGGTCAAAGAACTGTCAACCTAGACAATTTAACCGTTAAAATGTTCAACCTAATTAACGGTTCTCGAGTTGCTTTCAAACTAATTTCAAATTTTTTATTTATGTTAAAATAAAATTTAGAAAATAAAAAAATGAAAAAAAAATCTTTCATATCTCATAATCTTGTTCAATTATTCACAATGGCCAAAATTAGTTAGAGTTTTTAGTTTTTTTTTTTTTAATTTTGATCTTGAGTTCTCATTTCTCTAGTTCTTTTTAAGTTGTAATAACAAAAAAATTGCAACTCTAATGACTTCTCATTTCTTCATTAGATGCAAGAGATAAGAGATTAAACACTGATCTTATATTAAAATTTGATATACACCAAGTCACTAATGAAACAAACGATCTAGGATTTGAGAGAGATGAGAAAGATGTAAGAAGAGGGCAAACGGTGTTGTAGTGGCAGTGATGATGAACATGGAGATAGCCGCCAATGGCTTCTTCTTCTTCTTCTCAAGACAAAATGGTTATGCAACAATGATCGGGGAACATGGTGACAACCACCTCTGACGACGCTTCCTTCTATTCTTCTTCTTCTCACTCTTTTTTAAAACTTCTCAACTTTAACCAGTTGCCTCCTTCTTAAAGTCTTATACTCTTCTCTCATAATAATGTATATAGATGGTGGACTTTAACTTAATCATAATCTAACAGTCAAAATAAAAAGTTACATTATATTTTACATCTTACCGGTTTAACCCACTCAAATTGGATGATTAAACCCCTAACCCAGAGACTAGAAGCCAAAGTGACTCTGTTTTTGGGCCGGTTTTTAAAACTTTGATTTTAGTCAAAAGAAAGTTCCACAATCTTATTCATATCTTTAATAGTAATGTAAATATAGAATTATAGATGTGTTCAATTTTTTCTATATTTTTTTTTGTATTATTGTGTGTAAAAACAATTCTGATATGTTATACTTACATTTTGTTTAATATGATAAATACATGATATTATACATGTGCCTAATTTTTTTTTGCAATTTTTTTATATTTTTATATTTTATTAATTTTTATTGTTTATTTATGACATTAAAGGTTAGCACATTTGACTCAAAAGTTGAACTTTTATATTTCATATTTGGTCATTTCTAAATTATGTATTTCATTTTCATTATGAATAAAAATAAATTTTGTTTATTACACTTCTTTTTCTAATTTGAGTAATAAAAATATCATGTGTGTCTTAATTTTTTCTATATATTTTTTTGTAAATTTCTATATTTATTTATATTTCAAAAAGTTTATTACCTAACTATGACTTCATAGGTTGATCAATTTGATTTGGATGGTTGAATTGCTTAGCCCCCACTTGGATAAAGAATGGTTTTGTTTTTTAGTGAGTTTCAAAATATATAAGTTTATATTGTTAAAAATATTGGCATAAATCTAATTAATAGCATTTATTAGTGAAAAATAACTTAAAAATATAGGATTTAATAAGAGAAAATTAGATTTAATACCTTAAGTATAAGACTTAATGAGAAGGGAATAAATGAGGTAAAAAACATTAATTGAAATTACATTTTCAACATTTACAATTAAAGATGGATTAAATACACAAATATGGTCATTATAGTAGCCATTAAAGCTGACACTAAAACTATAATAAAAAAACTTTTATACCCTTTCTCAAATAAAGAAATAAAGGGTAATTTTATTCTAAAAAAAGTTTAACACTACATTCACACTTTTATATATAGTATAGATTGTATCAATATCTTATATGTTTTTTATCAACTACTGACCGGTCATCACACCCACTAGAGAGGCCAGAATAATTAGTTATTGCTTAACACTATATTCAACTGCAAAATTGTTGCTTTGTTGCCCTCCTTTAAGGCTCTGTTTGGGAAGAGGGTAAATGAAAATAATCATGGTTCAGGTAAATGCAAAAGTTAGGCCAGTTTTATGGTCATTTGCACCCAAAGTTGTTTGGTTGGAAGAAAGACACCTGAGAATGCAAATTTTCTAGTGTTTGGGAGTTTTTTACATTGCAAATTCCAGAGAATGGGTCCCACCATCATGCCATGGTTTTTTTTAATCATTTCCCCCTATATTGGACCGTTGAAGTCCCAACATGTGTATATTTGGATTCCCATAAACGAACCGTCTTAGCTAGGATATGTGGTCAACCATGTGAACTAGACTTTACTCTATTTTCTGGTTTTCCAATTTAACTTAGCTAGGATAGAAGAATGAGTGAGAACAAGTGAGATCTGGCCTCTGTCGAGCCCTTTTGCCTGCAAAACACAATATATATATATATATATATATATATATATATATATACATTATTGTCAGTAGATTTTTTCCCCAAATACATGTAAGAACCAAGGGAAAAGTAGAAGAAAACCCAAACAGAATTTGGCCTCTATCTATTCCGGTGTTTCCCAAATCTATTTTGGGTGGCTACTTTTCCCTTCCAAATACTGTGAAATACGGGGATGATCTGATGTCTTTGGTCTTTCCATCACCGGTGAACCTCCATGGGGAGGACATGGAGAGGACATAGAACATACTTGAGATATTCTAAGGTCTTCAGAATAGCCGGCGATGTCGTATGTCAATGTCAAGTCCATCAGAGCTCGATCAGCAGTTCTCTGTTTCTGTCGTCGAAGGATTCCGTTGGCTTGGGCTTCCAAGCCAATATAAAGCAAATAGAGCAAACTTGTTCCAAAACAGAACCGGGAAGTACCTTCTATCAGTATTTGCTGTTAGAATGTCTGACAATTAATAGAATGCTAAATTGAGTTTATTCTCATTAAAGGATTTAAATGGGGTCATTAAACTGGCCTAAGGTAATTTTTTGATGTTCCATTTCTGTTGTTCTGAGTAACAGAAAATAGTTCTTTTTCTGTTCTCAGATATTTAGGAAAGTTACCAAAGGCTGCCTAACATACAAAGTGAAAACTCATTCTCAATTTTTGTCTTGCTACTGCAACTTTACAGTCATATCCAATTAATGGAACAACAAGCATCACCCATTACAAGACTAACATTAAGATTGAAATACTCAAGAAATGCAAATATCCCTCAAGCTTTTTTCTTTTTTGACTTAAGCATCACAAATCCAATAGAGAAACATAAGAAGCATAAAAGTGCCACACCAGCAAATACAGGTACAAGGATAGCAAATTCTTGAGGGAGAAAATACTTGTGGATAAAGTGATCACTGTCCACAAATGGCTGCAAAAACAGTAGAAAGGAAATCAACATATAGGATTGTAATGCAAAAAGATGGTAAGTGAGAAACTAACCAGGATGATGACCCAAAATGTATAATAAGTGAACATAGACAAGCTAATCAAGGATAACAGAAACCCTACTGCCCTGTCTGCCAATTCCATGGTGATACTTACAGCATACTTCACCTACAGACAAAATTATGCAAACCAGTAACCTCATAAAATGTACTCATAAAATTGAAAAATTGTCACAGAGATATCAGCTCTTCAAAAATAAGAAAGGGTACAAATGCATTGTATGCCAGATTGGACCTTGTTTCTCTTTTTGTTTATTTTGTTTATTTGTTTGTAAATCTTTGATGACAGTATGATTCATGATCCCATTAAGATAAGGCAGGAAAGGAGTTCATCCTAAAAAGATTTTCCATAAAAATCAGCAACAGCCTGGAACATGGCTTATTTCCCCTAGGTATATGACATCACAAAAACTGCAAGGTGGTCAATGCAGGTCGAGGTTTAAAATAGCCCACACTCTCCTCTGGGTAGAACTTGTGCCATCTCCATCTCTCTCCCCTCTCTCTTCCACAAATCCAACTTCTGCTTCTCTCATCCCTCTCTTCCAACATTTCCATACCATGCTTCCCATCAGCCAATCACATTTAAGTTTGTGTTGTGCACATTCACGATCCTAGATAACTCGTATTTGGTAATGGTCCTGTTTTTGCATATTACCAATTTTAGCAAGGCCATAGTAGGTGATTCAGCAATGTGGCTTCTCAGTGTAAACCTGGGAAATAAGTGCAATTTAGATTCTTAGTGTGCAAGTTGTGCGGCTTGAAATTTTTCTTAAATCAGCATATTGAACTTTGACTGAAACCTTCTGAAAAGAACACAAAGTACCTCTTCCCAGTCAAATGGAATTATTTTGATCAGACTGTGAATAGATTGCTAATGTTATGCTTTGCCCTACAATTGTTAAGTATCAAAGTTCAGGAACATGAAAAGGATGTTTTGCCATATTGGACAAGTTCTTATTACTCCACAAAGTGTAAAAACAAGAAATTGAAAAAGAAGACAAGACAACTTAGTCTGTTCAGTCAATCTCCTCATGGAACCCCCCTCTTTGGTAGGTTCAATAAAGGCACTAATCCAAATACTGATGGTTCTATGACTCTATAAAAAATGAACCAAGATAATATGAAAGAAGAGCAACTCAAATTTTTACAGTGATATAGCTTGGTTGGTGCTTAATAATGCAATCCAATTGTCTATAAGTGATCTTTGATCATTACCTTTGATTCCAGAGACCAATATAAGGTCAACAACCTGTTGCTTCTTCCCGTGTCATTCATATTTTTCCTAGTAATGGTTAGTTTTATTTAATAGCTAATTTTTAACCTATTAGAGTCACTCATGACCATTTTAGCTATCAACTATAGCATATTATAGGCGAGTAGGTTCCACAGAAGGGCAGCAACCTAAAGACTAAAGTAAGACGTAATGTTCAAATACTCATTGATGTGTAAGAATTTGTTATGGTTGAATCAGCTTATGGACCAAATATGATACAAAACCATTTTAAGTTTCAAGGGAAGCTTCCCAAATTTATGAATTCTGTTCCCATTTCAATCCTGCCTGCCTTTCTAGAACCATATCCAATAAAGAATATAGCTCTGTCAAACCACGATCAGAAAATAGGCTAGCAGATCAGTTGGCAAAACAAAGGACCACAAGGGAGAGTGTGTATTGGAATCAAGTAATGAAACAGATCAGGTTCTTCTTGTTGTTAATTTTCAGGAAGTTAGTAGCCCAAGGCAAACTACCTCTTGGGGATGTAAGACTGTTCTTGTACTCTTTTAACAACGTTAACAAATCTGTCAATTATAATAGATACGAAGATACAAATGGCTTGAATTAGGAGCTAGCCAAATATAATGCAGAAAGAAGAGCAGTTGAAGACGAGAGCTGAAAGAAAGTTCAACAAAACTGATATAATCAAAGCAAAGTTCAACTACGAGGCATAGTGTAGGGTCTGTTAGAGGGACGGAACTCAAGCACATATATACCCCACGACAGCATCCCATTCTACCGATGTGGGATACCTCACATTAGCATCTCATACTACCAACATCGGACAAATGGATCATAACAAAAAATGATGAAGAATAAATCAATCCCTTGATAGTTTCTAGGGTTTTTGAAAACTGATATCTGACGAGATCTTCGATTGAATCATTGAAATATAGGAACCAAATAAAGCAAGAATTCAAGTACAAGGCAAACAAGAATTGCAGGGTGCTGTTTTGCTGACCTTAGAAGTACGGATGCAACAAAGCTTCGGCCTTGACGAGGAACAGAATGGAAGTCAGCAGTTTAGCAGTGGAGCGGGGGAAGAGAAGGAAGTCATGGGCATTTCGGATGAGCAAAACTGCAAATAAAAGAAATACGGGGTAAATTGTTGAAACCTCCCCTGAAGTTTCAGGTTATTTTTGAAACCTCCTTTTAACTTTCTGCATAGTTGCAATTAGACCCCATTCGATAGAATCTTTTAAAAAGATGTATGAAAATGTCTAAAATACCCATATAGTTACATTGACAAAAATGTTTATTTTCCAAATTTTCTATTCATATAAATCACTACCCCAAACCCTTCCAATCTCTTTTTTTTCTAAAATTGATTTATTTTTCAAATTTGCCTTTCATATCAATCACTCAAAGGTAAAATTGCAATTTTAAATTCTCTTTGTTTTAGTTATTCATAAAGTTTGTATTGTTTTTTCTATAGAAACTAATCTCAATAGTAACTTCATAGGTATTTTGGACATTTACATGCCTTCTTTAGAAGATTATACCAAAGGAGGTCTACTTGAAACTATATCAAAGAGTTTAGGGGAGGTCATTGCAATTACTAAATTCTAGGGGAAGTTTCAACAATAGTAAAAAACTTCAGGGGAGGTTTCAGCAATTTACCCATAAAAATATACATGTGAGGTGGGGTCATATGTTACCAAATTCTAACATAAGCTTATGATAAGGGGTAAATTTGTCCATTGTTAACCTATTTTCTAAACCATACAGGTACTTTAATTATGGGGGTGTTATGTAGTGTGGATAAGAAATTGGTAGGTGTGTCTTTTGATTCCATCTATCTCATATATATTTTATGGGAGATTTATACAGTCGATCATAAATATCTAATTTTTGCATTTTATATGGTAAATAAATTTAAAAAGAGGCATCAATATGTAGACAATAATTGCATTTTTTAAATAATTAAAAAAATATTATTTTAAATATTAAAAAAATAAAACTTAATATTTTAAATATTATTTTATTGATAAAAATCTTAAAAATTTAATATTTAAATAATAAAAAAGAGTTGAGAAGGACAACTACCAAACTTGTGATAGAATTAACATTAAAAATTATTATTTTATTGATAAAATATTAAAAATTTAAAAATTATTAAAAGATTAAATAAAATGAGAGTAATTAGACCAATATAACAAAGGTGTGTAATACTGAAACATTCCCACAAATTGTCTACACCATGGTGTAGATCATCTAGGAGAAAATACTATGGACAATAAATTAAAGTGTGGCTCGTCCCTATCTACGCTATTTTGTGGACGAGGACCATCCATATATAGTAGAACACCATATCTTATCGTAAATAAGAGCAAAATGGTCCCATCCACGATATTTACACACTTCTGAATACCACCTATAAAAATAAGCCTTAAACCTTAAATCCGCTATTGATATATTATGATCAGCTAGGTAGAGGCCCAAAGTAATGACATATAGACTGGGGTGTCCGAACACATGGCCGGAATCGGATTTGACCCTCATATAACCATCCTCATTTAACCTTAAAAGCATTCAATCACAGAAATATTCTCGATGTGAGGAACAAATCCAAATCCCGCATGGCCAATGTCAGTAGGGATTGGCCATATAATTTATCCACGTGACAAGGAAGGTAACCCTTTACAACAACTGTGAGAGAAGCCAAAGAGCAAAAGAGTTCCAAAATTGCATACAGATAATTCATACCATTTGGGAACAATTGCAGAGTTCCTCAACAAACATTTTTTAATTTTTTTTTGAAACTCCTTTTGAACAAACCAAATAAATAAAGGTAATCTTAGCCAAATTAGTGAAGTTGGTTTTTTCTTTTGGTAAATCAGGGCTAATAAATCAAATTAGTTATATCTACGGAAATTAATCAATCTGCTAAGCAAGTTATCCAAATCCCAGCTTTCAAAAAATATGGATATCCAAAATTCCAAATTCCAAATTCCAAGCGCTTTTGATAACTTCACTGGTTTAACAATTTCGTTGGCAGGAAAATCCTTCCACCACTTGAAGACACCGATCAAGTGTAAAAAAGGGCGAAGCTCAGTGGGGTTCAGTCTACTACTCTACTAGTTTAACTATCACTGAACCTGTATAAATCAAGAACCATTTGATGACCATATCTGGGTATTTATATTTTATAACACTGCCTAGAACCACTCATTGAGTTCTTGACATTGGATTATTACCAAGTTTCAGAGCTCTCGTGGTTGTGCCACATTCTAAAATTCCTTCTTCCTGGGGATCAGAAAAACACTATTTTCTGTTCCATGGAAACAGAGAAACGAGAAACATCTCATTTAAACGTTAACACTGCAAAATCTATAGCAATCCGTCCATCATTGTTGTTATAACAGAAACTGTCCAGTGTTCCAACTTTAAGAGATGACCCATCAATCAGGCAGTTTAGCAAAATGTACTCTTACAGTAAAACGTTTCCTCGAGATCACAGAATTTCATTAAAATCAAATTTAATCTAAAACAACAGGAAAAGGCAGGAAGAATATACAAAGCATGTGGAAACTTCTAGTGAATAATGCCAGGTTCTTTCATCAACTTTGCTGCATCCACTGCATTATGTCCTTTCGAATCACTCCTTCAAATCTGCCTCTTCCACATCTCATTCTCTGCATCTCAGGCCCATTGATGCACAAGTGCCTATACTGGACATTGGTGGCAGCTGGTTTTACTGGAAGCATAATTGTTCCCAAGGTTGGGAAGGATTTTCGCCTTAAGTTCATCGATGAGGCAAATACACGTCCATTAATTTGCCCATGTCGACCCCCTCCTCTGGATCCGTAAGTTTCCCTGATAGGGATGCTTGTCATTTGCTTGGCGAAGTTGCCACCAGCAGGCAGTCCAGGCGGACCACCACGGATATTAGCAGAGGGTTTGTTCCTGTCAAGCCACCTAAGGATCCAGTTCCCAAGATTCCTACCAACTTCTATGTCTCTCTCTTGTATGTTCCTGTGAACCTTGACTGCTATGTCAAAAACAGTACGTGTACGCCTGCAAAAAAGGGGGAAAACAGGGGAAAACAGTTATTAGGGTTATAAAATAAAACAAACTAGAATCCCGGCAAAATCATTAATCACAATTCCAATACAACCAACATGATGAACTCCAGATTTCCATGCAAGCATTCTATCAAATATAGACCTGTTATAGCACATGCCTGAGATTCATGTTCTTCATCAAGGGAATCCTGGTTGCACATCATTTGGCATACAAGCAAGGTTCCTTGATCTCAAATGCACGTCTGTCTAAGGTCATAATAATTAAACATTATTACTAATAACACTGATAATGGGAAATGAGCAAGAAATCAGAAGTACACCCAGCAGGCCTTTCATATGCTATGTATTCACACAGCAGAAATATTCATATTGTGTCCACAGAATTATCATTTAGAGATACTTCATAAGCAATAATCATTTCAGAAGCAGAAGCTAAGGAAGTATTCAGACTTAATCAAGTTACCATTGTATAAAACAGTATACTCTCATCTAAATAATCCACAACAAGCACTGGATTTATGTGCTTCCACAACATTCAACAAGATCCACATAATTTACCACACCACATGGCGCATGTCCTCATTATAAACCTCAATCCCTTGTTCCCCGTGTTGGGTCACCTTCAGTGCAGCAAATTCAGCTCTAAGAGCAATCCAGTGGCCAAAAACATGGAAAGAATGGATAAAGTATATGCCGTTCATGGTATTTCTCCTTGTTATGAGGGTGAGCTGGTAGGGGGGTATTGAAGGAAATTGAGGGTAGAGAGAGGGGGATATGTGAATATCATATCTTGTTGACATAGGTTGGTAGACCAGCATGCACACATCCACTCAGTACAGACCACAAATTAATGAGAGAGAAACAAAAATAGTTTATCATTCTATGTGATAGCTTAAGGGGTAAATTTTCGAAGGTTAGGATTAGTTTATGTCTTGGTGGCTAACATGGTTGGATCCGAAGTTGGGCCAAGTGAACAGCTGCCTAAACTCAGTTTATTTAGGTCCCTCCAATCATATTCCGTGCAGCTACCGTTCTAGTTCTCTGTATTATCGTTAATGAATGCCATTGGATTAACCAATACACATTTGGAAACAGACTTCATGATCAGATACTTTAGAGGCATCACTAATTAGAGAATGAGTATTATAAAAAAAAGGGCATAAGGCTCCCTTCATCTCCCTAATTCCAAATAAGTATCTGTTGGATCCTATACCCACTCTATGACTCCTCATTTCCTCAACCTCGATAATGAAGTTCTTTCTGATGTTTCATATAATAGCTGATGCAGTCCTAAGCTAGGTGGTTTCCTGTTTCAATGAAAAGTTCAAATATGTTAAAAAATATAGTTTTCTGACATCCGTAAGTTTTATTTCATGATCCAAAGTCTAAACACTGGCAATATATTAGGAGTTATTACCCTCGACACTTGAGACCCTTAAATATTTCCACCATTAGAAGATGCTTTGCATGAATCATGCTAAATGAGGTTTATACTCACAAGAGTTCATTTTTCATCCAAAGAATCAACTGGGAGAACAAGGTTGCTACTGTTGTTGGCTTGTTGATTCAAGCTAGAGGACTAGTCTTTGTGCAATGATTGATATGCCTATTGTACTCAAAGAAGCCAAGTACAAAAATGATATACTTGTAAGATAGACACAGCATTACGCATTAGGCATTTAGGCCTCCTTAGAGTCAAGTATTCTTTACATGTTATATTGGGGACAACCAGAGACTTCTGTCATAACCACATTATCTGATAATTGGTTCAACAATTTAGCAAACCCTTTAATTGAGACAAGATGGCTGCTACTGTGAAGGAATTTCTCCAATTGCCTGGCATGAAGTGTAACATCTAGAGATTTATACCCAAGGTTCAAAATTTTGTCATGTGTCAGTCCGTATCAGCCAATATGTATCATATTGGTGGGTCACCGAAATGCTAAATAAGGGAGTTTTGGGGACTTGACCTATTTCAGGGGGGTAGACAGGACTAAGACCTACCCCCCTGACCTATTTCTGAAAAAAAAAAACTAAAATAAGGGGAGGGTGCAAGGTTCAAAGTACTGATACACCCCTTGCACTGTATTGGGGTGTATTGATACTTTGAACCTTGTTTATACCTACCACTTCCACTATTGGGGTGTATTGATACTTTTAACCTTGTTTATACCTACCACTTCCACTCATGTGATCAAGGAAAGGAATAAAAACAAAATATCAGACAATAAACTCATTTTTATCTGTTGCAGAGCACTATATGAAGATCGAATGGACTTCTTCCAAGCTTTCCTAAGACTTAGTAGGGCTTTCACTAGTTTTCTTTGGATAGATAAAAGTAACTCTGTAATTGTATAAAGATCATATGATATAAAAGCTATAAACAGGAAAAAAGAGGGTCAAAGAAAAAGGAAGAAGAAAGAAACATGACCAAAAGAAAGAAGAAGAGAGAAAGGGGAGGACAATAGCTACAAAAAAGAAAAAGATATGACACCCCTTGCTATATAAAAAGAACAATATGCACAACTAACCCACGAGAACACCTCACTCTAATACAAAGGCACATTCCTTGATCCTAGAAATACCCATGACAAAACAAAAGGGCCAACTCTCTCTTGCTCTTCCGTTTTTCACGCCAACCGCTTGTGGACTTCGGTTTTTGTGCACGCCAACCGTTTGTGGAAGTTATTTTTTAAAGCTCCCACAAACGGTCAGGCGTTTTTCACTGTTACGCTGATGCGGAGCCTAGTGGTGCTTAGTGGCACCTAATTGTCATAAACGGTTGTAATTATTACCTTTTTCGGTCTTACCAGCAAATAAAGTACAAACGTGTAAATGGAACCAAACACGTACTTGGAATAAAGCACCCCCTTCACCTCTGGTACATCAAGCTAACCAAAGCACATACAAAAACCAAAATACCAAGCAACTTCCCACTCATCTAGCCTATAATAACTCCTTTGCTTCCCAAAGTGAATGGAAAACCCAAAATCCCTAACCGAGTAGAATGATTACTTTGCCCCTCCTCTCTCTCCACCAAAAAAGATGACCCCTGCCTCATGCCCGCCCACATCTCCTTCTCCCCATTTGAATTAAGTAATCCCCATCTTCCCACTCTAATGCCTGTTTTAATCTTTTGGAACCTTCATCCACTTCAGCCTCCCTGCTTACTATTGGTACTTCAACTGATCAAGGAAGGTATCAGCAACCTTAGTTGAAGTTGGTTTTCTACAAGAAAAAAAAAAGGTAGAAGTAAAGACACTCGACCCTTAATGGAAGCCAAGCAGGCTTCTTGTAGCATTCCCCAATCACGAAATATGAAGGTTAATAATATACTCTTCTAGAGCCTCCGGATATGACAGAAAAGGTTATCATTTGTGCCATGGTAATATAATAGTTGGTCTGTTATTGGAGTTAAGATATTTCAGGTGAGTAGCCGACCCCATATAGTTGGGAACTTGGGATAAGGCATGGACGATGATGATGATATTTCAGGTGAGCACTATAACCTTTAACTTACTAACCTAAAGCATTTAATGAGAAAGAATCAGTAGACCCAAATTTGACAATTGGTACTGCGAACTGGAGATAAGAATGTGCATACGTACCGATGAACCTATTCTACTTCCAATCTTAAAACCGTATTTTGCAGTAAACAAGGAAAAAATTAAAGAAAGCTCAGATCTTCCTCAATCTATGCCACGTCGACTACCAATTTCGTATGAGAAACAAAAAAAAGAAAAACCTAAATTTCAAATACTAAATAGCTAAACCTTACTCCCTCCTATGAGATAATCCACAACCGCCATCAGAAACCGGTTTATTTGTGATCAACCAATAAAGAAACGCTGAATAAACATTAGAATCCCCCCGAGAAGAGATTCGGAACAAGAAAAGATAGAAAATTCAGAAGGACAAAGATAGAACTACCTGTAAACGAACTGCCGGAGCCTAGGATGATTAGGGCTGATGAGACGACGTTGAAGCCTCAGAACCAGCTTGTAAGTGCGTTTCATCCCCAAAAAGTAGGCGGTTGCCAATGTGATCTCCCACAGCACCATCTCTCTGGCCTCGCTAGTCGCTATCTCACTCGCTTGCTCTTTCTAAAATCTGATCCAAGTTTATCTTGTTTCCTAACTGTTCGTTTATCCTCTTTGTATTCGATTCAAGTTTTCTTTTTGCGCAAGTCTTTCAATCTGGGGGCTGTAGCCGCTGGTAGTCTCGTCTCAATGCATTTTTTCAAAGTCTCTCTCTCTCCCCACGTGTTCTTGGAGAGGTAAATGGAAGTCACATCTGCCCCCCACATGCGCCCCAAATACGTTCCACACACATCCCAACCGTATATTGGTAACATCTCCCAAATCCCAATGCACGTTAAGATATACAGAGAGATGTACATGTAGAGCGTTTTTGGGGCGCGTTCTGTAGGAGGCAGATGTTAACTCGGAGAGGTATTAATAGATCGAGCTCGCATTCTGTGAATCCGTAGCCCGTAGGCCCACAGACCAGAAACGAGCCCGTCGGTGGATAGCACAATAAATAGATGTTAGCACAATAAATCCGGAGAGGTATTAACGGAACTTCGCACGTTAGCACAATAAATCCGGTTTAACCGGACGCAAAAGGACCGAACCCAATTCTTTCAAGTTTCAATCTTTTGGGATTTTCGAACTCCCTCCCATACACTCTTTTCTCCTCTCCTCCGCCGAGCCTAAATTCAGAAACTCTCACCGGCGACCTCACTGCACACCGGCATCCATGATGTAAAATCCATCGGCGGCGACAAAAAATCCACTGGTCAGCCATCGTATTCTTCTTCTTCTTAAAAAGAGAAGCAAATCTCCAAAAAGAAGAAATACAGATACAAGATTGGCATAGCGATCATACAGGTCTTGGTCTATTTGTTCACCCGAGCCAGATACCGTTCTTTTCAATTTGCCGGTAGTCTTCTGCAGTGCTTCTCCGGCGACTTTAGCGGTGTGTTGGGCAGTTAGATGTTTCGAAACTCTTGGCAGCATTGCGGTGAGCCAGTGAGGTTTCATGCTTCTCCTAATAAAATACCAATGAAACCGAGCTAGTTCATCGAAACATCAAATTCTACTGTAGAAGAGCAAAATTAATTACTAGAGAGAGAGAGTGAACGGCAAAATAACGAGACACCTATTTAGGAATAAGACGGAGAATAAAAAGGTTGTTCGTTGAGAATTTTTAGGGCACAAGTATCTAATTGAATCGGTTAGAGTCTAAATTCATGTATTGTGCTCACATTGGGTCCTGTGGGGTCAATGTTGGTAGTTAGGTAGAGAGTGATTGCATTGATTAGGATAGTGGATTATAAGGGATAATAAGTTTTTAGGAGTTAGTTATTTATTTAAGAGTCTATTTAAGTTGTAATTTCCCTCTTAATTAAATCATTATGTTGTTAATTGAGAGTTATCTCTTTGAAGGTATTCCATGACCGGTTCGATTGTTGGTGACGAAGCAAGAGAAGTTTAGGGAGAGAATAATGCAGATGTTCGAGTCTCTCTCTAGTCGTCTTGATCAACTAGAAGCCCTGTAAGTCCAATCACTCTGATGTTCATGCTGCCATCCATCATTTGAACGGTGGGGGTGACGACAATGACGTTGAAGACCAAACGGCCAAGACGGTAGAAAAGCAGAAGCAAGAACTATTGGAGGAGCAAGCCACCTTCAAAATCCATGATGAGGTGGTAGAACTAATCGACACCAATGATTCCGAAGGCGGAAAGCCCAACAAACAGGAGTTCAACGCTGCTGTTCCTGAATACGCCAATGCTTCTTCCCCATTTCTTCTCTCACTTGACCTGAAGAGTAAGAACTGGGGTTTTGAAGGGAATGAGGACGTGTTGGTTTTGCGATTCAAAGATGGGTTTCCACCGGACATTGAGGACGTTGGATGGTTGGAGGCTGCCATGGATTCACCAAAGCAAAAGGAGGAACGAGCATTTGAAGTGTTTGAACTGTCTGGGGGAAGTGTTGGTGGTCGATAAAAACGGGATTCAGTCATATTCGTTCAAACGTTGTAGAGCTTCTACATCCCAACAATCGGTTTGGAATCTCAGGTTCCACTCTTCTCTAAGACCTAATTCTTTTAAAGAAATGCCTGTTAGAAAAGTCAAGCTTGTGGGGTTTGCATACGAAGCAGTGAAGGCCAGAATTACATATGGAATAGATGAAAAGATAGCACTGCCAGAACCTGTCAACAACATCAATAGAAGTTTCATCCATGAGGGAATTGTTGGCACTATCAAAGCTGCCCAGATTTACAAGCAACAAGCAGTGGAGTTGGAGCATCTAATGAAATCTCTTCTGGAGAAAAGAGATGCTCTGTCACAGAATTTTTACAAAGGCTGGCGTTGACAAGGTATCAGTCCTACAACCTCTTTGGTTTTCCTTCCAACCTAGTGAATGATTTGATCCATCTGAAAGATTACTGTCAAAAAAGCCAAATGTTCACATCCGTACATATGGGAAACACCTGTATTGCCATTTGGTCTCCAAAGTCTTGAATGAACTTGTGCATGTGTTGGTCCATACAACTATTTGGAGCAGAACAAATCCGCTACTCTGTCGAGAAGGGATATGGAGAAAGGTTTGCATGGGCAAACCTAGACGTGTTTTTGTAAATGGATATGTGATATGTCAAATGGCCAAGAAAAACCTAGACGTGTTTTTGTAAAATTTTTCCTGAGCTTATTTGTATATGACAGGTCCTCATTTACTTAGTGGAGATGCTGAAGAGACAATTGCTTGTTTCAGAACTAAAGTGAATACACCATTACAATGCTGAAACAGCTATGCCTATACTCTTTTGGCATTGGGTTATGTGGATCCTCTTATAGAACCTGTTGGAGACAAGCAAATTTACCAACATTTTGTAGAGGGGTAGGCTCTTGTCAGGAGTAAGGGGTTTTTCTCCTACAAAAGATGGTCATCACACAAGTTCTACTGTCGTATATCAGATTGCTGCATCTGCTATTTCTTACAGGCATTCTCAAACATGGAGTGCTTTTTTCTGTCAAATCTTCAAAGGCTGATCCTACAAAGTACTCACTGCATGGGTGCATGGAAGCAACTACCAATGACTGATACAGTAGTGATTGCAACAAAGGAGGTTCATCCAGCATTGGATTACAACAGTGGGGAAGTAAGCGATGAATGCGTGTTTGGTGACTTTGACCTTGAGGACAAGGTCAATTTCAAGGGGCAGGGAATGTCGCATATCCATCTGCTCACCTTGGGTCTTGTGGGGTCAATGTTGGTAGTTGTGATTGCATTGACTAGGATAGGGGATTATAAAGGATAACAGGGATAACATGTTTTTAGGAGTAAGTTATTAGTCAAGAGTCTATTTAAGTTGTAATTTCTCTTTGAGAGTTATCTCTTTGGAGGTATTCGTCTCCCTTGAAGTAGATGGAGTTCTAGTTACATCCTGTAACATAGTTTCAATGAATACTACAAGAAAAGACTCGCAAGTATAGAAAAGAAAACTCACTCTGAATCTGAATCTGTAGGCCTGAAATTCATCCAAACTAGTTTGATGAAGGATCTAACTTTGTCCCAAGGGCTGACAGTAGCTCCGATCCTGATGGCTCTTTCTGCAGCATCCGGCCCTTCTTTTCCAGATAGAATTAGGGGAGAGATGACGAGCACATAGATGATAATAAACTTAAAAGTCTGCATGCGTTCAAAAATAATAGAAATGAGTGCAGAGAATATTCTCGCACTTAAATGTTTTCTAACCAATGTGATCTTTTAATTGGGGAATGCCGAATACGTGGAGGTGTCGATACAGGTACCATGAGGCACATAATGGATACTTTTGGGTTTAATAAGTGGTGTCTATTCTAATCCAACCACTGACGTCTGAGTGTGTTTACAGAATGCGAGCTCCCCTCCCATGTATCAGTAACGGCCATGGTTTGCTAACGGCCGTATAACCAGCATTAACAACATAAAACATTTTTATAATGATTAACTTTAGAATTTGGGAAAGATAGGGTTTCTTGAATTGTCAGATTGACATTTCTTAAATCCCTGGTGATTCTAAATCGCCCCCGATAACATGGCACATTAAAATTTGAAAAGACTGAATATTTTTCTAACATGTCACACATTTATCATTATAAATATATTATAATATTAAGTCATATCACTTTAAAATGCCCCAGCATCCCATGTTTTGTGTTTTTCAAAGAAACAAGTGAAATGAAACACATGTAAATCCAGGCCCACTTGTGAAGCAGAATGCTTGTGAAATGCTTTGATGCCAAACACCTACATAATCTTGGCATTTGACTTCTACAAATGAGTCCGGATCTTATGTTCATAATAACTTCGCCCACATCTACTTACATATCATTGCAGCCATACATGGAGAATATCTCATCCTCTTACATGATATTATACATGGGGAGATGTTCCCAATACACAAGGGTAATGTGTTATGGGTAGACATGGGCAGAGTTATGGTGGACAGGAGATCCGGAGTCTCTATAAACAGCTCAGTCAGAAGAACCGCTTCTATAAACGGTCCATCATGTTAGACCACAGTCACTCAATCTCAACCGAATTTCTGGCTTCAAATTTACTTTGAAAATTTGCCCAACCCACTAAAGCAGTCAGCTTCACTATGGTTTTGTAAAGTGTTTTTACAAACTGTCTGAACTGTCACCCAACCATCAGGTATGGTTAAAACCCATGATTTATTTAAAACCTGTTCAGTTAGTCAAAACTCATTGGATTGAGTGGTCAAACCATTAACATATTCAACCTAGTCACAAGGTCGGTGATTGCATATTATGTATGTGCAAACTGTCGAAAGCCACATAATTTTGCACTCACATGTCTAATTAGGTTTTTTTTTTATTTATTTTGGATAACTTTTCAAGATCTATATGTCCAAGAAATCTTGGTGCCTTGCCCCACTATTTTCGTCAAAAAGCCTTTTCTTAGTTTTTAATTATAATTTTTAATATATTTCTATAATTATATATGTAGAATATAATTATATATTATTTAGTAATAAAAACACATGTATTTGCTAATGTGGCATGGTCTAACCCATTCTGGATGATCAAATCAGTGACCCATGACCCCGAGGAAAAATGGTTCAGCCTCCGGATGAATTTTTAAAACATAAGTTTTGTATATTACCCTAAACGAACAAAACTTTATGATTTGTAAGGATAAATTTGTAATTGCTTGCACAAGGCCTGTTTAGCTTGAGCTCAAGCACAGAGTTCAAATCAGCCCCCCACAACGTCCCACAGCACATCTCCACCGTTTATTGAGAACATCGCCCTGTTCCGACGAGCTGTGGGACGTTGTGGGGGGCTGATTTGGTCTCCCAAGCACATTCGACATACTTACATAGTTACATTGGCCATAAAGCTAGAGGCCCAGACAACCCTGTCATTCCGCGGACCCGAACCTCATGCTTTAGCAACATTGGGCTTGATAAGAAGCCCATGATGAACAAAAACGGGCTTTAATTTCATGAACTAGCTGATAGCCCATCTTATCAAAAGAAAAGCTGATAGCCCGACCGATATAAAAGAATATTGTATAGAAACATTGTTGCAAGGAAGATGCCCTATCACAGTAGTCATGTGATGCTTGTCTAAACTGCCACGTGCCTATTGTACGACCGACGGATGATATCCACTATATCTGGCCCCACTTAAAAGATTGGAACCTAACAATTGGATGGTTGGTTGTAAACTGTAAGGATTCTATTAAACCTAAAAAGTGGTCAACAAATTGGATGGTTTATAAATACTTGGGCCTCTTGATTTTGGTTTCTGACTCTGATCACCAGATCAATGTGGGCCATGATCTCTGTACAAGAGTCAACTATATCGATTGCCCATAACTCTATACATAGGCCACGTGTCAATACCTCATAGTCATAGATGAGCGCACCCTCACTAATAATCAGCTGCCAGAGAGCGTAAATTGTACGCTTCTCAAGTATTTTCTACACGGAGCCCTACTTTGGACGATGATACTATACTCACGCTATAAGCTACTTCCATGCTATCAAAACTGCAAACCGTTAATTATATTGGCACGATGAACTCTCCATGATCCAACGGTTACGATCTTATTTCAAATGAAGAAGTGCACGCTACGCAATTCTTTAATATATTCTCCAAATCCCGAGAGCAATTGCATAATTAATTCACAATTAACATTAATTAATCAAACCCATAATCTTCCAACTGTGGAAATAACTTTTCCTTCCAGCTTTATCTCCCTGCTGAAGTCAACTGGTGAGGCAATGAAGGGCATATTTGGAAAGAAAAATATATATTAAAACTGAGAAAAGGAAGGAAAACGAACAGTCTTCCAAAAGCTCCGCTTCGTTGCAGCATCGTCCCCCCTCCCCCCCCCCTCTCTCTCTCTCTCTCTCTCTCTCTCTCTCAATCCAAATATGCAGAGGTCGTCTCTGGGCTCGCCTGGGTCGAAGCTCCACGGCCATGGAGGAGAAAAAGAAGAGAAGGTCGATGGGGAGGAGCGGAGGAAAAAGGAAGGCTGCGGTGTCGACCGCTGTGGAGTCGCAGACGAAGATGAGAACAAGGAAGAGAAGCTTCACCGATCGATGAGTTACCGGTCCGAGAGATCGATACATCTAATACCTATTCTCATTATATTCTGCATACTCGTTCTCTACCTCTGTTCTTACGATCCTTCTCAAAAAGGTAAAGTTAATCAATGGCGATGATCTCTTTATCTCTTTTGACCACCCTTTCTCTTAATGTAATCCACTCTTCTTTGCAGAGTTAGCTCATTTTAATGGTTTCCGGTGGTTCTCGAAGCCGACAGGTATAATGTAGGTTCTACTGAAGAGTTTATTGTTTAGATAAAAATTATTTTAGATATTTTTCATTTTCTGTTTAATGGTGGTTCAGATTCGACGGAGACCGGCGATTTCGGGCGATATTTAGAGATAGAGAAAGGCGATGTATTGGCGATACGAAGCCATCGGAGCTTGCAGGAGGTCGGAAGAGACGCTCGGCGATATTGGCTTCATCGAAAAGTCGCCGATTTTTAGCCCGCATTATCTGGTTATTTTCCAAACCCGACTCTCTGGCTCTGACCTCTGCTCTGCTTCTTCCGTTAATCGATTCCCTTCCTCCATTGACTCGTTTCTCACGCGCGACTCCGATGTCGTCGTGGGATTAGCACGTGTAAAAAACTCATTACGGTTTCCATTTCTTACGACGTAAAAGAAGAAAGAATATACTACTGGCAGTGTCTGTTTGCTCATATTATTAACATGCACCCTCTAAGGGCGCATGCGCATCTAGTAACCTGCGCAGCTGTGAACTCGCTCTTTCTTACTGTTTCTTGTTTTCCGGTTGGACCCCGCCTGTGAGATGGAGTGACGGACGCTTCTTTGTCGGGAATCGGCTGTCACTCGGCGATCACTCAACTCACGCCAAGTGCGTCCTCGCAACAGTAAAACACATCACATGTGATGTGCGTGCCGCGTGCGCATACGCGGGGCCCACGACGACCCTACTGTGGGTGGTGCAGGTTACAAGCTAATTTTTTACTTAGCGGCGGTTCTGGCCGTTAAACGGGCGTTATAACGGTTGGGAATGACCAGAGTGGAACATCGTTTTGTAACGGTTAGTTCCGTTAATCGCCGTCATGATAACCCGTGTATGAACAGTTTTAATCAGAAGTCTCTTTCAGGGCATCGCTCCTCAGTCTCGCCAATTTTCTTTTTATTTTTTTGTTTGAAAAATGCATTTTAATAATAAAGACTAATGAGTAAAGAGCATAAAAGTTTCAAAAGAATATTATTGCAACTGCTTTCAGAAAAAAAAAAAAAACTATGGTAATTATTGGTATAAATAAGGTTCATTTCAGTGTTTCCTAGAAATCAAATGAAGTCGATCGAGTTGCTTTTCATCATCATGTGTTTAATTTTCTTTTACTCTGTATCTTCTGATTCTAAAGCGACATTGAAGTTGGATAATATCATAATACACCCCTGCCCTGTTTGTTGTGTTGTTAGAGTCAGCCCCAGTTCGATTGGAGGGGTGGTGAGAGTCTGAGAGACGGAGGTCGATGTTTACATTATTTCCTTGGTAGGGAAGTGCTGCCAAAACTCCAGTGGATGCCACTTTAACAAACACCGTGATGTTTGGGGGCAGAAGACACATCTGTAGTCCAGTTTTTGTAGTGTTTGCGAGAACTGAGATTTCTCCTGTATTTGGATTTCAAAAGTAGTGATGGAATTATATTTTTCAAAGCTGAGAAATATTGTTTGGAATTGGAAAATACAATGAATTTATCTAAAAAACTGTGTTTGGTTTGAAAGAAAATGTAGGGAAAGGCATGGTTTTGAAAATCAGATTGGACCAGACAGTCAGATCAGTTGATTCAGGAATCGGTTCTGTTTCACCCTAAAACTATTTATCTGGTCAACGACCCATTGATTCAGGTGGCTAAACTATCAACCAAGGTTTTAAAAGTCTAGAGGCGTAGTTGAGGCATAAGCCTCAAAGTTTAAGGAAAAAATTAGAGTTCGTAAATTGATGAAAATAGCATATAATCTACCAAATTAGTTGATTAATTTAAGGAAAAATTAATCAACTAACAATTATAAACATTGTACATTCATGTAAAAAATAAATTTAGAAAAAAGGAAACAACTTAGTTGATTTGATCTATAATAATAATAACAATAACAATAAGAAGAAGAAGAAGATTATTATTATTATTATTAGTAGTAGTAGTAGTAGTAGTAGTAGTAGAAAAAATAAGAAAAATGATAAACTTGGGACATTACATTTATAACAATAAGAAAATTTTCTTAGTTGCAATGGATATTCTTTAGTTGAAAAGACAAACAAAAAACCGTGTGGAATAATGGGGAGATGTTTTGATGGCACGTCAGGACTATATCCCATACTTGTATTTAATATTCATGGGGAGATGTTCTTAATTCACAGTGGGATGTGACTGTGAAGTAAGTGTGAGAAGCAGATCAGATCCTAATTCCCGCAACAGACCAGGCTGTTTTGAGAAAATAGGCTTATCCATCTATTCTACTTGAACCATTACTAGGTTGTGAAATGTTTGAACATAAAAATAAAAGTAGGGGATGAAATGCTGTAGAGAAATAAGCTAACAATAGTTTTGTTATATAAAAAATAATTAATATAATATATTGATTGATCAGGGTTGATTTTGCCACTAAAAAATAATAATGGTACATGTGGACTACTTTGTGGTTATTTGATGGTGTATATGTGCAATATTTTAATATCAAATACCCTCAATATGCAGGTTTTGCGTATCAAGAGTTCAAAACCATGGAACTTATTTTTACTTTTTTTTTTTTACAACAGGGGATAGTGTGCACCACAGCCATTAATGATTCTTACTTTTAAAAAGTCTAAGGGTCCATTTGGTTCACAGTTTGAATTGGAATCAGAATCGGAACGGTCTATTCCTCCTATCTGTTTGGTTCAGATGGAAATTGGAATCAGTTTGAATGGATTATCATTCAAGTCATTCTCAAGAAAGAGGAAATGGTAGTTCCCTCAAATGGGGAATGCCATTCCACCAAGAATAGGAATGAGATTTTGATTTCACCCAACCAAACAGTTGGAATTCCAATTTCAATTCAAGACCCCTATTCCCACAAACCGAACTAGCCCTAAATCCTTTTAATAAAGTGTGGTGATCCTGAAAGTCGATACATATTGTACAATACATACCAATGCAATATTTTGAATTTTGATTGGATGTAAAAAAAAAACAGTACAAGTGTAAGGAAATGTTAATGAAGTGATTAAGAATAGGTTTTGATAATAATCAAAGGAAAAGATCCGTCAAAATAGTTCTCCTTTGGAAACCTAGAAAATTCAGGTTTTGAAAATTGGAGACCAATTTTTCAAAACGTTTCCAAGCATTTGATGTTATGTTATCATATCAATGGACCTGAAGACTTAGTTTACTTTTCTTTTTAATTTTTAACTTCAGAAAAACTGGAAACAATCAAACAAACTTGGGTGGAGAATGAATCTTTCAGGTTTTAACTAAAAGAAAATAAAAAGAAAAGAGGGCAGAGGCAGAATTGAATTTGGCTCCTTCAATGGCATAAATTAAATATCAATTACAAGATCTTATCTCAAACTACATGTTGTAGACATATTTGAATGTGCCAAAAATGTGAATGCTAAATGAAGTTATCCATTAGAATTTAGGAATAGCTCCAATAAGTGGTAAAATGAGAAATGATAGATTAAGGCTGCATTTGGCATTCCTTATTTTAAAGATTTATCTTCTTTTTGTAGTTAAAAACTCAGTGTTCATTAGAGCATTTTAAGAGCAAAAAGGAGATGTCTTTAAAATAAGAAATGCTAAATGCAGCCTAAAATGGTTGGGAGAATGACCGTTTAGCCCAGGGTCAGAATTTTTAAGCTCAAAGTACAATTAGGGTGGGTGTCAGCTCGGAATTAATACCAATTCACAGACAGGCATTAGTGTGCAGAGTGGGGGGTTTTGACCTTTAGAATGTTTACAACTCTGCAGTGGAAATCAGAAACTCCTTCCCCACCGTGTAGCCCCAGGGTAATTAATTCATTTGGAATACTCTCAAAACCTTTTACACCCAGATTGGCTAATTTGTCCGCACAATGGTTTGCTTCCCTGATGCGTATGGGGGTACGAGTGACCCTCCAGCCTGGGCATTATTTACTTCGAAGTTCGAATCGCTTGTATGCTTGAGACAGTGAATCTGATTCGATAATGACCCGCCTGAAAGTTGAAACCCTTGCTCCAAGCCATTGGGTCAATGGAAGTATAACATAACAGATTTCAATTGAGTAGCCCCAAACTCCAAGCCGTTGGTCATTCCAGTTTCGGAGGATGCCTCCTCCAGCTCTTCTCCGCTTCACTTTTGCTGCTCTTCAAACCACCCTTCCGGTGGATATCAAGTTTACCTTCTTGAATCATTGAGGTGTCGTGACTCATTGAGATTTGAAAAAATTGACGACTTTTTGCAGATGTCATACAATTGCCATAATGAAAATATTATAAAGTCAAAACACTAAGCACCTAGTCAGCACGATCTTCACTAATTGGCAAACGATGTAAAAACCTTTAACCAATCGAATATGAATTCAGTCAGTCCTAGCAAAAAAAATCAAGGTGTTATATGCAACACTAGGGTGTTCTCTAAGTGACTGACATGCCACATCGGCATCCAAATGCAGTGATGATCAAGACTAGAGTTCAAAAATCGACAGAAGGCATTACTCTTGATAGAGCACAATGGTAGGACAAGGACAAGATTCATGTAATCAACCCAAATAGTTGGAATTAAAGCTGAATTGAATAGAATATAACAACCATGTTCAACAAGAGGGGCAAGCTGTTTCAACATTTACCACTTTCAAACTAAAACAATAAAGTTGGTAAATCATAGGCAATAGGATCTAAAACCAGGACAAAGATATTTACAAAATTTTAGTCTTAAAGAATCAACCCTTGTGCAGGTGCAGGTTTGGAAGGCTGCTCACTTTCAGTTTTTGGTGCCTCAGAGTGATGAACCTGAGCATGGTCCTCAACTCCTCTTTTTGGTTCCTCTTCAGCCGTGCTGCCAACCTTCTCTTTTGCCTTCTGGCCTACCTCCCCGGCTGCTTTAGCAACCTTATTGAAAGCACCAGTTACCCATGCTGCCCCAGTAAACACATACCTGTTCTTCATGATAGCAGACCCAGCACTACTGACTTTCTGCTCAGCAGCTGCGAATGCTGATTTGGTCTTTTCTGAAACCTGAAATTTCTGGTCCATTTCCTTGACTTTGTCATTGACGACAGATGTACCAACACTTATCTTCTGGCTAAGACCCATCCTCCTGTCCAGAGAAACAACCTTGGCAGTTGCAGTGGACGTTAATTGATGCTTCTCATCAAAAGATTTTGCTCTGTTGATGGCATCCTTGCCTAAGATGAAGCCCTTGGCAAGCATGCTACTAACAACTTCTTCTGCCCTTTTGACAGCAGATTCAGAACCACCAGGAGGAACCTTGCTTTCATTTTCCTAAATGAGATTGAAAACAAGAGAACTAAACACATTGATTTGGTACAAAAACACAAAGAAAACAAATGCTCTCTGTATAGCATCTTACTGGGGGTGGAATAGAAGCAGCAGGTGGCAGTTGGTAATCTGGTGCCGGAGTTATTGTGACAGACAAATCCACTATTGTTGCACCCTGTGATACCACAAATACATGGTTATAACATAATTGGGACAAGGATTAGATGATGAAATGTCCAAGGATCCACAACCAATCATCTAGTGTATCCTAAATAGATGTAGATAAAACTCAGCCTACTGAATAGCTACTACTATTCAATACCTATAATTTTAACCAACTAGTTATCCCTTTTTCTGTGTAAATCAAGGCTATAGGATCAGAAAACTATTATGATTTAGCTAGACAATATTTGAAACAGGAAATCTCCTAGATTGCAGTCACCAAATAGATGAACTTGAAAATCCAGCACAAAGGAAGATGAAACTAGGAAGATGAATTTTCCTAGTTCTCATCATTTAAGGAACATAGAAGTTACCTCTGAAAACAAAATAGGTTTTGTTATCAGGATTCATAGTATGCAACACATTGACAATATTAATTTAAGGTGCTTTGGTAAAAGAAGTTAAATAGTTGATCATTAATTTTGTAAAAGAAATATTTGCTTCCATCAAATGGTATGGTGGTGTCACTGGTGATCTAAAGCCAAAGAAGAAGAAAATGTCTTGAGAAGTGAATGCACCGAAAGAAGGACCGCAGTTTCAGCCCCCTGACTGTCCTTAAAGGTAACGTATGCAGTTTGAGACCGTTCATTGTCACTGCAACAAGCAAATGATAAATTTGATCTCCAGAAAAGTCAAGAAAGAAAGCAAGAAAAAGATCTTAAACTGCACAAAAAATCAACCTTTTCATTTCAACATATTCAATATCACCAGAAAAGGAAAAGAACTCCTTGATATCTTGCTCTGTTGCTCCCAAGGAAATATTGCTGACTTTTACTGTCCGCACCTGTAATGACAAAGAAATGCAATGAATAGGAGATAGAGTATAATACCAAGTGCTTATAATATTCCATCAAGCAATCAAGCATAATATACGATGATACAACTATGATGAATATGCACCTGTGAGAAAGGAGCTGGTACATGTCTGATTAGAATATTCATATCCTTTAATTTAAATTAGAAAACTCAGAAATTCAGAATCTGATGCTACATATATATTTGGAGTTTGGTGTTATCATCTTTTTATGGGGATCTAAACAATAATATAACTGGCATATAGAATCAAAAGAGCTATCAAGGTCCTCACTTATTCTGTCTACATTGTATTGGGAAAATCCCAATATTTGCAAAAGTTTCTGCTGTTGAAGAATGGTAGCAAGAGCAACTGCAAGAAACAAAAATAGGAGTGCTGACCTGACTCCAAATTCACTAAAACTGATTTACAAATTGATATCAGGCCCAGATGATTTCCAACAACAGTAATGACCTCTTGAAACCCATCCCTTGCAAGCAACCCAGCTAGATTGTTGGCAGCTCTGGGCATCCACCTGAATGAGCAGTTCAGTATAGCAGCCAAAGCTTCTCCCTAACTAAACATCTGAAGGTCCAAGAGATTTAATCTCCTAGTAGACCTGTTCATGGGCTGGTTAGACCGATGGCCTGGCCTAGCCTAGCCTGTTCTTTATCAGGCTTGGACAAAATTTTAGGCCCAGAAGGTGGATTGTGGCTCGAGTGGGATTCGGCATATGAGGTCTTGGTTAATTAGGGAGGGAGTTTGGAACCGGTTGTCCAAGTTACCGGTAGAAAAAGAAGAAGAGTTATTTTTTTTTAAAAAAAGGAGAGTCAGGTCAACGAGAGCTTGAGAAATGGTGAATAGGGTAAGAAGCAGATCTTTGAAGACGATGGGGAGAAGCTCATCAGTTCCAGTGACGATTGTCTTAATGGTGAGGCTGGTCTGTCTACAGGGACGCGTGATCTATGCTGTAGTGGATCTCCTGTGGGGTGTGGCAATTCTGTCACTCAGGATGACGCTATCAGGGCATCTCAAGACTCCAGTGTTTCCTTGGTTGAGTCGTGTATGAGAGTTCAGAAGAGGATGTAGAAGGGCTGGAGTTGTGGGTGGGAATGGCAAGAAACATCTGAACGATATTTTGAAGATCAAAGATTTTGTTGGTGCTGAAGAGAGTGGCCTCGTCAGAGATGCAGCTGACAGGATTATCTTTGTAGACAAGCTTTCATCTCATCTTCCAGCTTGTTTTGAGGAGATTGTGATTGGTAAGCTGGGTGTCAATCTGGGTCATAGGAGGAAGAATGAGGAAATATGTCAAGTTACTGAGGTTGGATTGGGTCTTAAGAAGTCGGGCTTCTAGCAAGATGCATATGTCCACGTAACTTTTCTCTAGGCTAAAGCTCGGATTGGTTGGAGATGGTCCCACAAAAAATTTCAAGAAGGTTTACAAGAGGGGTGTGAAGACAAAGTCGTCAGAGTTTGTTGATCCTGGTGGGGGAGAACAAATTTGTCTTTCAAATTCGGATCTGTAGCTGGTTAATGCTCAACAGGAAATCAAGAATTTTGGGGAAGGGAAAGAAGATGATTTGAGGATAGCTGGTACGACTTCAGAAGGTGAAAAAGTTTATGAGAATAATGTTGAAATTGGAAAAAAAAAACTTGGTCTATTCTTTTTGGGTTGTGCTAGGAGAGCCTTTGAAGAATTTGGGAGGAGGAAGGAGAGTTTGAAGAAAGTCATTGTGGGGAAAGGAGGAAAAGCTTGGAAAGAAGATGTTAGAAGGGTATTCATCAGAAAAAAAAAAGAGATGTTAGAAGGGTTGATGTGCTTGAGGAGGAAGATTAGTAGAGACTGGAGCTTGTCTTTCCTCTTGTTTTTGTTGTCTTTTGTTGTGGGGTTAGGGTTGAAGAGGGTGTTGGGGTGGTTGGTTTTGAGAGAAGTCATTATAGGTTGTTCTGTTTTGAGTTTTTTGTAGGGTGGTCGCCTCTTTCTGTTGGTGACTGCTTGTCACCTCTCTCCTGTATGCTTTTTCTTCTTTAATAATTTTTCTTTTATTATCAAACTTCAAAAGAAAGCCCACAGGCTTGGGCTTGGGCTCTAAGCACCAAGCTCAACTATTTTTCAGGCCAGGCTAGAGCTTTCTCAAATAAGCCTGGAACGAGCCTGAGCCCAACCCAATGATATTACACTGCCGGTCCTGAGCCTGGGATAAAGGAGGGCCGCATCAGGTTGGCAACTGGCACTAAAATTTTTGCCAAACCCTCATTTATAATATATATAGTTTATTAAATTATTACCAAACTAATATAACATTAATTTATTAAATTACATTGTAGGTAGGACTTTTTATGTCCAGACCGTTCTTCAGGCTCAGTCTCAAGATCCAATCCTGATGGCTGGGCTGGACTCAGTTTCAGACCTAGACATTTTCTGTTAATAAAGAGGCAAAGCCCAGCCTGGCCCGGCCTGTGAACAGCTTTATCTCCAAGCATCACCCTGTTAATGACCACTTGACAGTCACTTTCAAGTTTCAACCTGTAAATCTGTCCAGCCATACGAAACAGCAAGTTTTAAACTTTGCAATAGGGCCAGCAGTCTGCTCTGATGGAATTGCCTAGACCTGAAAAGCTAAGAAAGACAATTCACCTACCATCCCTTACTACTCCAAAACAATAGATCCCTGGATTATCCAAACAACAACCATCAAAATTTGATATTCTTCTCCCAAATTTTGTTACTAGCCATTCAACACCCTTTCTTGTCTTCTAATAGAGATTCTTAGTACAACTTGCCACCCACTCCATACATAATCCATGGTTATGCCTCTACCTTCATCACATGATAATGCCTCAAGGGGACTAATTTTGGCTTCCTGAGTTTAGTTGCTTAGCCTTATTTGGGAATTTAACAAAATACAAATTTTATAACTCCAAATTCTGTGCTCTAGCAGATTTAGAAGTATCTAGGGGCCATTGGGATTTTTTTTACACAAAAATGAGTGGAATTCCATTTTAAATCCACTCACAACATACAAATACATCCTTAAAGCTTTCTTGCAAAAAAACAAATGCTATAAAGAAGATGTCTAATTTGAAAGTCAACTTTGATTAAAGTTGTGTTGTTGGGATAAATATGGATGAGAGGGAGGTGACAAAGAGGGCTGAAGTTCTAGATTTCTCAATGGCCTTTGAATTATCTGGGAATGCCTTTAGGGGATAATCCAAGGAACAGTTTTTGGGACCTAGTGGTGGATAGATTTACTAAGAGGTTAGCTTTGTGGAAGAAAAATTATTTGTCCATGGGTGAGAGAATCACATTGATAAAATTTACATTGAGAAACCTGCCTATCTATTTTTTATCTGTCTTTAGGATCCCATATAAAGTGAGTAGAATATTGGAAAAGCTGATGAGAGATTTCTTATAGGAACCAAAGGAAGAGAAAAGAGACCATAGAGTTAGTTGAGAGATGGCCCATTAAAAACAAGACTGATGGTGAACTAGACATTGGAAACATTCAAAAAAGAAATAAGACATTATTGGGGAAATGGTTATAGAGATTGGCAGAGGATGGGGACAAGTTGTGGGCAAAAGTAATTCTGAGCATTCATGGGCAAGCGGCTAATGGCTGGGATGTGGGAGTCTTGGCTAGGGCTACAAGAGCTTCTCCACAGAAATCCATTCATGCCATTTTACCTTCTTTCATGCCATTTATCAAGTATAACCTTTACTCTGGATAGCAAGTGAAATTCTGGGAACATATTTGGGTGGGAGATGTGCCTTTGAAAGAATAGTTTCCTTCATTGTACTCTCTCTCTCTCTCTCTCTCACACACACACACACACGCACACTCTATTCAAAAAGGAGCTTGTGAATACTTTCTTGGTCCCTTCTGAGTTAGGGTATGGGTTTGAGTGGGATTTGGGTTTCAGGAGGGGTCTTAGGGACTTCGAAGCTGAGAATGTCTTGGCTTTGCTCCAGATATTGGGTGCAGTGGTTTTGATCCCTCAAAGGAAGATGGTATAATTTGGACATTGACTTCTGATGGTGAGTTCTCTTATGCCTCCTTCAAAAGCTTTAGTCCAATCCTCTGTTAGTCTTGGCCAAACCTTTCCTTGAGATTTGGGGTAAACCAATTCCTCCTAGGATTGGAGCTTTTTGTTGGGAAGCTTTTCTAGAAAGGTGCAATACTCGTGGCTTGCTTTAAAAGAAAAGACTCACCTGGTGCTTGTCTTCTAGTTGGTGTATCCTTTGTAGGGCCAATGGTGAGAGCTGTTATAACTTATAAATCTTCTACACTTTTGCTTCTACTATTTGGGTTGGTTCTTTTCTTTGTTTGGTTGCAGGTGCACTCCCCCTTCAAGTATACAAGGCTTGTTTTACTTCTTCCTTTCTTAGGTGGTCAAAGAAGAAGAGCAGAGTAATGTATATGGGTTGCTATTTTCTAGACAGTATGGGAAGAAAGGAACTCACAATTTTTTACTGAAAAGGAAAGAAGTAAAGAGGCAATAATTGAAGTTGCAACTATCAGAGTGGTACAGTGGGCAAAATCATTAGAGCTGTTACAACTTACAAGATATATCTACAGAGGTATTGATTAGAAACTGGAAGAAAGTAGTTAATTCAGCTCCAGTCCAGATGAAAACCAGACCCTTTTGGTCTACACCAGCCCTTGGATTTATCAAATAAACTTTGATTGGAGCAGTGAAGGTAATCCGGGAACTTAAGGTATTGGAGGGACCCTCAGAGATGAGGAAGGGAAAGTCGTTACATTGTATTCCAGACCTATTGGGGTGGGGGATTCTCTTAGAGCTAAAACCATGGCAGTATTGGAAGGGCTAAGGAAGGCTAAGGAATTGAATCTACCATGGATTATTGTTGAAGGAGACTCTAATATGATTATAGAACAGATGCAGAAGGAAAAGAGCAGAAAATGGAAATATGCTAATGAAAAGAGAGTTCAAACGGTTAACTCTGTGAGTAGAGATTCAAATTCAAT